GAATAACATCATGTGATTATGATGGACTTTTACAATTCTTTGCATTTATTCGTCAGTGTGTGAACACACACACACACACACACACACACACGAGATTATGTCTCTTTCTCCCAAATATCCAGTGAGCCATGTTGCTGTCAACTGGCCTTGCTGCAGAAAGGTCGGCTGTACCTTTCTCCAAGTGTTTGTGCCAAAAGATGAGCAAACGCACTTACCAAGTAACAAAGTAGAATACTCCACAATAAACCTTCTTCCAACCAGCATAGGTGGGAAGTTCATGGATTCTGGTCAAACAAACATTTTATTTCATAGAGAATTACTTTATAGATCATTTGTGGACTACCAGTTTAAAAAAAAATAGATCCACAATAAACGCTATTAAACATAATTCAGTCATTCTCAGATGATTCAGATAAACTTCAGTATCCTACACTGCTTCTGAATCATCTGGGAACATCAGTGGCTTTGTTCTGTAGCATATGGCAGACAGGTTAATACTGGCATCTGCTGAATTTTCACAGAAGGAACAAATGGATTATTATGCTTTTATTACAATCCAGTGGTTGGTTAGGTATGATTTTTACTAGTCAGCAGCATTTCAGAGACATTTAAATCTGGCGTGTGGAAAATCAGAAATGTCAACATTTTGTCTTTCACTGAAGCATGAAGCAGGCCCTGTGCTATCATTTGATATAATAAGGATCCTGTGTACTTGTCTTTTTGAATAAATTCTGCTTTGTGGTGAAATTAGCTTTCATGCATTACTGGTGTTAAAATGACAATTTGTCGATGATTATCAAAAGCCTGTAAAACTAGCATACTCTTAAACTCAGAAATTAAACTCTGAAATTCTAACTTCTGAGAAGTTTTCCTAAGTAAATAATTGAACAAGTGAGTAAAGTGAGTCTATAATAACGTCCTTAGCAGCATTGTTTATAAGAAGATATAAAGTTGAAAACAATCTCAAATGTGCCTCAGTAGAAAATTGGTTAGACCATAGTAGATCCATGTAATCATTATGTATGTGTATTCCTAAGTGGAATACTGTGTTGCTATTGAAATTATATATTGCTAATATGTTAAAAATAGTCATAAACAAGGTAAATTAAAGAAATGGTGTATGAAATGATATGTATGACATAATCCTATTTTATTAAGAAGGAAAATGTCTGTGCATGCACAGGAAAATGGTAGAATGTATCACATACTCATCATGTTCAAATCTGGGTGGTATGATTCTAGGGAGTGGCTTTTAATTTCTCCTTTATACGTTTCGAATTGTTTGGTTTTAAAAAAATTTTTATATGTGTTTTGCTTTTAAAATCTAAAAGAATGAACAATTGAGGGTATTTTTTTTTTCAATTTTGAAAGAAAAGATAATAAACCTGTGGTGTTAGTAGGATGGGAACGTCACCACGAGGGAGAGGCCTAAAAGCTAAGAAATGACTGTTTTGCATGCCTAAGGCGAATGTAGGGAGCCTCAGAGTTGAAGAATTTCCACCCCTATCAGGTCATTTGGCATGGACACAATTTTACCTATAAAGTCAATTGATATGTTCTTGAACCAGCAACTGGACATGTTATGATTGAAAATGCCATGAAACCATTTTAGCTCTTGTTTTTGTTCTTAACTTTATAAACAATCTTAATGTCTTTCTTTATCAGTAGTCATTAAAAGATCCTTAGAAATTTTGCCCTGTGATATGGTTAGGCTTTATGTCCCTACCCAAATCTCATCTTGAATTGTACTCCCCGTAATCTCCACGTGTCAAGGGAGAGACCAGGTGGAGGTGATTGAATCATGGGGCAGTTTCCCCCATGCTGTTCTCATGATAGTGAGTTCTCACAAGATCTGATGGTTTTATAAGGGACTCTTCCTTCTTCATTTGGCACTTCTTCCTGCCATCTAGTGAAGAAGGTGCCTTGCTTCCCCTTCACCTTCTACCATAATTGTAAGTCTCCTGAGGCCTCCCCAGCCATGCTGAACTGTGAGTCAATTAAACCTCTTTCCTTTATAAGTTACCCAGTCTCGGGCAGTTCTTTATAGCAGTGTGAAATGGACTAATACACTCTAGTAGCTGTGTATCCTAGAAAAGGGGCTCCAAATGGAGAATGATTGCCTATAAACTTTAAGCTGTACCGAGCGAGAAGAGTCAGAAGAGACAGTGGAGATGATCGGTTGTTCAGGTCGCTCCACTGAGAAATCAAAGATGAAGAGAGGTTACATGTGATGTGGCCGATGTGGCAAATATAGTTCATGTCAGAGCTAACAGCCAGCAATATCCAGCCATGAAGCCCAGTGGGTAGGTGAAAGGAGAAAGATGGTAACTTCTCAAAATAGTGGGAAATTAAGGACTTAAGGTTATATTCCATTAAGGGGATGGAGGAATTTTGTTTTTAGGATAGGTGTATAAGTTCGTTTTCACACTGCTGTAAAGAACTGCCTGAGATGGGTAATTTATAAAGAAAAGAGGTTCACAGTTCTGCATGGCTGGGGAGGCCTCAGGAAACTTACAATCACGGAGGAAGGGGAAGCAGGCACCTTCTTTACAAAGCGGCAGAAGAGAGAAGAGTGAGGGAAGCAGGAACTTGCCAAACACTTATAAAAAACATCAGATCTTGTGAGAATTCACTCACTGTCATGAGCACAGCATGAGAGAACCACCCCCATGATCCAATCAGCTCCCACCACATTCCTGCTTCAACACCTGACACCTGGGGATTACAATGCAAGATGAGATTTGAGTAGGGACACAAAGCCTAACCCTATCAATTGGGATATCCCATATGGAGTTTTGTGCCTCTTGCTTGTCTTGGAAGAAGAAGGCCCCAAGTAATCGTCATGACCTCATGGCTGATCCAGATATGTAAAAAAGCAAATTGAGACTTCCTGTTTTGATTAATTTGGGAAGCAGTTATTAAGGATTGATTCTCCCTGTTGTGGTTAAAGCTGTCTACCAAGAAATAAGCCAAATGAATATTAGGCCAAGAATCTGAAGGGTGAAGCCAAACCACTGGGAAGGGCTTTCTACTGCAACTACAATGTGATTGAATTAGAAAGGAACATTCGAACCATGTCATGTTGTCACCTCAAATTCAACAAGTCTAAAATTGAACTCATCTTTCCTCACGAAGCAGCTCCTTAACTGAACTTTCCTAACAACAGGAAGACACTGCAGTGCAGAATGCTTTGCCACGAGATATCTGTCTATTATTTCATTTGATTATCACACACAAGAAAATTTAACTCTAAAATTTAACTTTAAAAGATTAATCAAAGGGCTGCAGATTAGTAAGAGACCAATTCTAAAACCCAAGTTTTCTGAATCCTAATCTAGTCATCCATTATCAACTATATCACACTGCCCCCCCTCCATATTTGTGAAGTAAACCAGCCCATTTTATAGAATTACTAAGTGACACTTTATTTGTATTGGCTTTTGAGGATTGCACATGAGCAGATTTTGGTAAACATGAAGTCAGATTTTCTCCAGTAGCAAAGAAGAAACCAACCAACCTTCGGAATCATTAATCCTGTTTTTTTATGAGATACCTCAGTGAAAAAAACATTCATAGCATTCTTATTATTGAAGTCAAAAGATGACACAGATGAAATAAAGTACTGACTCTAAGCCTAAAAATGCCTAGTTTATAACTCTAACATGAGCACACCATCATCAGTTATATTAGGTTAATATATGGTATAAGTGGTATGGTTCTACTGTTTTGTTTTAATTTGCCAATTATTTTGGCTTTGCAATGATGTAAGAATTATAAGCATGTTCTAGAGAAATGCCATACAACATTGTACCTATAGTTAACAATGTGGTTAACAATTTTTACAATTTTAAAGTGTATTGTACACTTTAAAATATGCCAACAGGGTGGATTTCATGTTAAGTGTTCTTACCACAATTTTAAAAAGAATTATTAGCATGAAATGTTTACATATCTGGATTTCTATTTTGTAGATATGTAAGTAACATTGTAATAAAAACACTGTAATTCTCCAGTACAAAAAGCAGCTTGCTACACAATGCAGCCCCACACCCATACCCAACCCATTGACCTGTCGAGTCAGCACCCATCCTTTCTCGGCACTCTGTATCTCAGTACACATTCTACCTTCAAAAATAGCTAAGTCAAACAAGTTCAAAATAGCTATTTCCTCTTGAGTTTGAGCATCTGCAGTTCCCCAGCCCCAGTTCTTTATTTGGAAATAAGTATTAGGAGAAACATACCTAGCATAGTGATATTGATTTGTAATTTCCTCAAATAGACGTTCACTTTAGATGACTACAAAAGCTAAACAGAATTCAGGAGCTCGAGACCAGCCTGGGCAACATAGTGAAACCCCATCTCTTAAAAAAAAAATACTAAAGTTAGCTGGGTGTGGTAGTGTGCACCTGTAGTCCCAGCTACTCAGGAGGCTAAGGTGGGAGAATTGCTTGAGCCTGGGAGGTCAAGGCTGTGGTGAGCTGTGATCACATTACTGCATTCTGGCCTGTGTGACAGAGTTAGACTCTGTCTTAAAAAAAAAAAAAGAGCTAAGTAATATATACACATGTGAAGTCCTCTGTGTCTCTTCTGCCTTCCTCAGCCCATCGACTTCTATCTAAATACACACCTGTGGGCCATTGTGATGTGCCCAGCATGGCAGTGGTATGATACTAAGGCATGTTTTAGAGCAAAAGAGGGGGGCCTTAAAGGGAGCTGCCACCCCTTCAAAATGCACTGACTCTGAAGCATCCTACCAATTGTCACTAACACCTTCTCTCTCCAGTGAAAAGGAACTGGAGGGAAAAACAAAATCCCAGCAAAGAAGATATCCTACTCCCAATTTTAATAATACTTATTACCGAATATAATATTTAATTTTAATAATATTTATTATAATATTATGTTTATTATAATTATTAAATAAATTTAATAATTTTGGCTTATTAGCACCAGCCTCGGTTTGGTAGTGTAACTTGATTCTTTTCTGATCTTCGTGACAGTGTCTACGCAAATAATTCATGCAACATGCTGTATCTTTTGAAGTAAGCGTTTTGATTATTTTTGGTTCAATACTTTGAGTCCCTTCTTCTAAATCTTACATGCTGGTAATCAGCTTTGTAAAGAATTCCTAACCCAAGGCCAGGCCTGGTGGCTCATGCCTGTAATCCCAGTACTTTGGGAGGCCGAGGCAGGCGAATCATGAGGTCAGGAGTTCGAGACCAGCCTGGCCAGTTTGGTGAAACCCCATCTCTACTAAAACACAAAAATTAGCTGGGCATGATGGCACGTGCCTGTAATCCCAGCTACTTGGGAGGCTGAGGTAGGAGAATCACTTGACCCCAGGAGGCGGAGGTTGCAGTGAGCCGAGATCATGCTGCTGCACTCCAGCCCGGGTGACAGTGCGAGACTCCGTCTCAAAAAAAAAAAAAAAAAAAAAAGGCTAACCCGCAGTTTCCAAAGGAACTTGTTTTTGTGCAGAATGTTTTAGTTTAAGTTGTTATTTGGTAATTGTAAATTATCTTCTGTAGCTATTGGATTAATGCACTTCACATAGTTAAAAGTTTGAAAGCTAGTTGACTAAGTCTCTAAACTTAAGGAACTGAACCATCCTTTTAGACGTATGTGGTTCATTAAGCAGTTAAGTTCAGAAAAGGGCTCAGGGCTGTTCCTGCCAAGAAGTTGGTGAAGACATTTGGCAAGTGGCATGCTCAAGAGGTTGTCTTTGTAATGTTGCAGAATCGCCTACCAGAGGAATGATGATGATGAAGAGGAGGCAGCCCGGGAACGGCGCCGCCGAGCCCGACAGGAACGGCTGCGGCAGAAGCAGGAGGAAGAATCCTTGGGACAGGTGACCGACCAGGTGGAGGTGAATGCCCAGAACAGGTACTCTCCTCTTTGGGACGGGGAATTTCTAACTTACGTGTTAGCCTGTCTGTTGAATGGAATTTGTCAAGCAAAGCATTCCTTTCCCAGCTCAACTCAACCCTTTTTCAATCTAACTTGTTGAATTATTTTGCAGTCATTTTAGGCAACTAATCTGATTAGATAGGCAATCTGATTTAGACATTAGGACACGATATACTATTTCTCTCCACCCCGTTCCCATCTCATAAACATACCCCACTTGAAGGCTTTTATTTCATTTTACAATCTAGCATTTGTTTAATTAATAACTATGGTGTGCTATATCTTTTATATATATATATGTATGTATTTTTTCTGTTTAATTCTTTTTTAAAATTTCAATAGTTTTTGGGGAACAGGTGGGGTTTTGGTTACATGGATAAGTTCTTTAATGGTGATTTCTGATATTTTAGTGCAGTCATCACCCGAGCAGTGTACACCATACCCAATGTGTAGTATTTTATTCCTCACACCCCTCCTACATTTCTCCCTGAGTCCCCAGTGTCCATTATATCACTTTTGTACCTTTGCATCCTCATAGCTTAGCTCCCACTTATAAGTGAGAACATATGATATTTGGTTTTCCATTCCTGAGTTACTTCACTTTAAATAATGGTCTCCAACTCCATCCAGGTTGCTGTGAATTCCATTATTGTGTTCCTTTCTATGGCTGAATAGTATTCCATGGTGTGTGTGTGTGTGTGTGTGTGTGTATGGTAAGTAGCTTCTAACTGGGGAGTAGGTATAGCAAAGGGGAAATAGGTATAATTTCTGGGGTTCACTAACTGACTTTGACTCCCAATTTGACCTGATATATATATGTATGTATATATATACAACACATTTTCTTTACCCACTCATTGGTTGATGGGCATTTAAGCTGCTTCCATATTTTTGCAATTGCAAATTGTGCTTCTATAAACATGCATGTGCGAGTATATTTTGCATATAATGACTTCTTTTCCCCTGGGTAGATACCTAGTAGTGGGACTGCTGGATCAAATGTTAGTTCTACTTTTAGTTCTTTAAGGAATCTATATGGTTTTCTGGTGGGTTATTTCTTTAAATAAGAAAAAGTATTTACATTTATTCTGTAGGGTATTGCTATCCATTTTGAACTGAAGATATGTTAGTATAGTAGAGTTCTCTGTGCCTACCATTAATAGGTAACACATGAATTTTTTAAGTGGGCATGAATTGCAGATGTCTTCTCTTTTCCAGTACACAGCCTGAATCAATAGTCTCTGATCATTATAATATTCAACAAGATACAGAATTCTGCTTAATTTAATGTGGTTATTCAAACACACTTAATGAGTTTGCTATTACGTATTTTCTCACTCAGGCCCTGGTAGAAATCAGGGAAGTTGAGAATGCCTAATAGGTTCAACTTCTTCAAAGAGGGCTTTTGCAGCAGAAATAAGGTCTTATGGTTCATTATGCTAATGGTTAGTATGTGTCATTTATATTGTCATTTATATGCCCCAAGGTCTAAAAAAGATGAGGATATTTGAGGAGGAAAATGGAGAAAATAATTTTAATTTAAAACCATGGACTGATTATAATGGTTACACTATATAAGATCTCACATGTGGTTTTGGTTTTAGTTTGTTTTACTTTGTTTAATTCAATCTATTTAGAAAATTCTAAAGGGAATGGGTCCCGGCTTCCTTAACCTAAGTTTGGGAGGCTGTATTAGAAGGTTTCTGAAAGCAGTCTTGAAAATGTTGGCCGGTAGCACAGATATTGGTTACCCTTTCCCTCAGTAAGTAGCTTCTAATTGGGGAGTAGGTATAGCAAAGGGGAAATAGGTATAATTTCTGGGGTTCACTAACTGACTTTGACTCCCAATTTGACCTTTCACTAATTGTATTTCTTCAGTTAAATGGAAATGAAAATTAATACTTTTCTCCTAAAAATGCTGCTAAACTTAAACTATGTAATAATGCATGTGAAATGCAGAGTGTCATACACATAGTAAGCACTCAATAAATTTTCACTGTTACCAGATTCTTAACACGGGAGGGCAACATAGTTATTCACTGCCTTTTCTATTTTCAAGCTGAGAGAGAAATAATAGAAAGAGTTTTAAAAATGGTATTTTGATGCCTTTCCTGAATCTTGTTATTAATGAGTGGTCAACAGGAGCTTAAAAAGTTACTGCTGGTCTGTAGTTTTCTTGCTTTTAAAGTCTTGCTTTTCCTTGTGCTTCTCTTCTCATATTTGGCTATTATTCATTATTTCATGCTATTGATCGAATTCAAATGCTTTTTTTTTAGAAAATCATATTGAGGTTTGAGAATGTGCGATTTATCTCTGACATATTAGTTAGCCACAAGAAGAATAAGTCTTCTTGGGGCTAAACCACTCTAACTGGCATTTGATATCTACTGGTGATTGTGGTCATGATTTATAAATAGGCAAAGAAATGTTCAATACAGTTTGTTGGTTTCTTAGCATAAGAGTACTTTAATCTGGCTAGCACTTTGGAATTTTGGTGCCTTTTTAAAATTATTAGAATTCAATTGATCCAAATGCCCTCTCTATAGACTTCCCCTTCAATTATACATTTTTTACATTTGTAGGGACATTTAATCCTTGTATGTCTAATTTCATGGAGGCAGTATCCTGAAGCAAAAGTAAAGGCCAAGAAAGTTTTAAAGCTGGTTTTTACTATGCTAGTTTTCGTTGTTAAATATGAAATGTGTTTTTCCAAAATTAAGTGAATTTGAACTTCGAAAGGGCCAAGTTTGGTCTGAACTACGAAATTTGATGGAGTTTCTAAACATTGAAAGACAAATTCTTCCAACTCTGGTCACAGTTCTGGTGTCACATGACTGATTGTTTCCTGCAAGTAGAAACCAACACCCTGGCTTGGACAGTGTCCCGCATCCTGCAATAGTGAGGGAGGTGATGGACAGCAGTTTAACTTCTGGAGATTTTTTTTCCTTTTAAAAATAAATGTCAAATTTAACTGCCCTTTTTCCACTGCAGAAAAGATGGACAAGAAACCCTTTATTCATGGAAGTCTTGACAAAGAAGGTAGATTGTGTATACATTAGTTAGGGTAATGCTGGCTGCGATAAAGATTAGTACCTCCAAATTGTAAGTTTAGTGCAGTAACACTTACCATTATGCATATTTCCGTCTAGTTGGTGGAACCAGCCACCTGTCTTCTTTTCTCTTGTGGTTCTCAATCCCTAGGGCTTGGCGCTTACTGATCTACCAACAGACAGAGATAGAGAAGACAGGGAGCGCACCTCTGTTTGTTCATTGCCTTGGTTGGGTACTTTGTTTACATTTCATTGGCAGTTATTGGTCACCTGGCCCCGCCTAGGCGCAAAGAAAGGAGATGGTGCAAATTTAATCCTTGAGTGGTGATCACTCCCCCCGACTATGGAAGGAGGAGCAGGAATTGTAAGGGACACTTAGATGTCTCTTCCACTGGGGTCATTGGCATGAGTGTGGAATCTCAACACTGTAATGTACAGTTTCTTCCTCTCAAAGTACCTTAGGAGCCTTCAATCCAGATCAGGAATTCTAGATGACTTGGTGACATGTGAGAATACTACATGACATGGAAGGAATTCACTTATTATTTCAGTTGGATCCTTAAGTTTGAATTCCCCAAGTAGCAAGTCCAGAAACAAAGATTTGACTACAAGTCATTTATTTGTAAGGTGATGCTAGGAAACGCTGGTGGGGGTGTGGGAAGGTGAGACAGAAAAGGGAAGGCCACCAAATAAAGGTTGCATGACCAAGCACATCACCACTGGGTATCTGGAGCTTCACTCCACGGGGAAACTCTGAGGTCCAGTGTGGAACACACACCTCGGAGTTTTCCAACTCAAAAAGTGAGGGGTGCTGAGGTATCTAAACACTAAGGCTCATCAATTTTTGTTTGAAAACTGCTCCCAGGGGACATTAATACCTAAAGCACTTCTGGCATGGGGAGTAGACTCCAGTGCCAGAGAAAGGCTTGCATATGCTGTCAGCTGAAAGCCAGGCAGGCATGTACTAAAATGGTAACGTACTGGGGACATGGGCAGGCTTGGCACTACTGGCATCTGCTGTAGTCCTGGGTGGCACAGGCTGTATGAATGCTGCTGACTGATGAATGAGCAAGCTGTCTTTGGTGTTGTTCTTTCTGTTGTACAGTGTGCCTGATGAGGAGGCCAAGACAACCACCACAAACACTCAAGTGGAAGGGGATGATGAGGCCGCATTCCTGGAGCGCCTGGCTCGGCGAGAGGAAAGACGCCAAAAACGCCTTCAAGAGGCTCTGGAGCGGCAGAAGGAGTTCGACCCAACAGTAACAGATGCAAGTCTGTCGCTCCCAAGCAAAAGAATGCAAAATGACACAGCAGAAAACGAAACTGCCGAGAAGGAAGAAAAACGTGAAAGTCGCCAAGAAAGATACGAGATAGAGGAAACAGAAACAGTCACCAAGTCCTACCAGAAGAATGATTGGAGGGATGCTGAAGAAAACAAGAAAGAAGACAAGGAAAAGGAGGAGGAGGAAGAAGAGAAGCCAAAGCGAGGGAGCATTGGAGAAAATCAGGTAGAGGTGATGGTGGAAGAGAAAACAACTGAAAGCCAGGAGGAAACAGTGGTAATGGCATTAAAAAATGGGCAAATCAGTTCCGAAGAGCCTAAACAAGAGGAGGAGAGGGAACAAGGTTCAGATGAGATTCCCCATCATGAAAAGATGGAAGAGGAAGACAAGGAAAGAGCTGAGGCAGAGAGGGTAAGGTTGGAAGCAGAAGAAAGAGAAAGAATTAAAGCCGAGCAAGACAAAAAGATAGCAGATGAACGAGCAAGAATTGAAGCAGAAGAAAAAGCAGCTGCCCGAGAAAGAGAAAGGAGGGCGGCAGAGGAGAGGGAGAGGATGAGGGAGGAAGAGAAAAGGGCAGCAGAGGAGAGGCAGAGGATAAAGGAGGAAGAGAAAAGGGCAGCAGAGGAGAGGCAGAGGATAAAGGAGGAAGAGAAAAGAGCAGCAGAGGAGAGGCAGAGGATAAAGGAGGAAGAGAAAAGGGCAGCAGAGGAGAGGCAAAGGGCCAGGGCAGAGGAGGAAGAGAAGGCTAAGATAGAAGAGCAGAAACGTAACAAGCAGCTAGAAGAGAAAAAACGTGCCATGCAAGAGATAAAGATAAAAGGGGAAAAGGTAGAACAGAAAATAGAAGGGAAATGGGTAAATGAAAAGAAAGCGCAAGAAGATAAACTTCAGACAGCTGTCCTAAAGAAACAGGTACAGTAAACATTTTGCACCAAATGTGTGATGCCTGTGACTTGTGAGAAATGTAATGCACATCTGATTTGGGACTGAGGCCACATGCATATAGCTCACATGCTTGATCATTTGGCAAGCTGTTCATTTTTTCAGGCCATAGCAATACACAAGCATGCGGCAATTGATTGATGGCTGAATATTCAATCAACCAACTTTACTGGGACAGCCAGTAAATTTGGCTGTCCAAAAGACAGAGAGAAATTGATTGCTCTGTGCTTGATTGTTATGAATACCAAAAAAACCGAATTAATCCAAAGATGATAAATGTGGTGGTGGTGTGTTGGCTTCTGATTCTGCACCTGCATCTAAACTCATTCTTTTAATTATCTTTCCTCTATCCATAGGTCTGCATGAGGCAAGAGGCCCTTAACTCCTTACCTCACTCATGGGTTTGATGTTGAATTAAAAAAATGATAAGAGCTGGGGTGGGAAATAGATATGAATAATAATGGTCAGACATTTCATCTTAAGAAGGCAAAAACAGGCTGGGCGCGGTGGCTCACGCCTGTAATCCCAGCACTTTGGGAGGCCGAGGAGGGCGGATCATGAGGTCAGGAGATCAAGACCATCTTGGCCAACATGGTGCAACCCTGTCTCTACTAAAAATACAAAATTAGCTGGGTGTGGTGGCATGTGCCTGTAATCCCAGCTACTCAGGAGGCTGAGGCAGGAGAATCACTTGAAACCGGGAGGCAGAGGTTGCAGTGAGCCAAGATTGTGCCACTGCACCCCAGCCTGGGCAACAGGGCGAGACTCCATCTCAACAACAAAAACAACAAAAAAAAGAAAGAAAGAAAGAAAAAAAGAAGGCAAAAACAAATACCTGGAAATTAACTGGTAATAAAGAGGGGAAAGGAACTGGTTGGAACCTTTCCTTAAAAAAAAATCAAAACCCTGATTTGCCAACATGTAGACCTCAGCTTAATGTAGACTTGCAGAAAGCCATTAATTTAGGGTAGTATCAATGTATAACTGACTGGTAATTAAGAGCATACATGCTTCTTTATTATCTGGGTGACACAAATTCTTGTGGCCTGAGGAAGGGTGGAAATAGTAGGGGGGAAATGTTTGTAAGCTTTGAGAAAGATTTTTTTCTGTCTGCAAGGCTGCATTAAAAGCGCTGTACCTAATCACCACCACCACCACACCACCACCAACCCTAAAAAAAGAAAAAAGGAGATGCTTTCACATTCACCTTTCCAGAGCAAATTCTCTGTCACTAAGCCTGCATTGCACTGAAGGTGTCTTTAACTCCTGCTTCTGTGTAAGAGGCTCATGAACAAAGCTACAATTGAGATCATGAGCAAAGTGCACCAAACCACACACGAGGTTTGTAAACACACGAGGAGTGCCACATCATGCTAGATTTCAGTAAGCGCAATGGCAGGCACACGAGAAGATGTTGGGGTGGGAAGAAAATAGCCCACCTTGCTGTTTAGAACCACTGTGCTGTGAGCGCTGAGACGGCAGAAGAGAAGCTATCCCATGCAGCACGTGCAAAGCGATCTGAGCACCCTGTCACTCTTGTAAACTAGAAAGGGCTTCTTTTACTTGTATGACCTTACCATTCTTGAAAATAAAAAGGGAGAAGAGAAGGGAGCTAAAGTGCAAGCTAAAAGAGAAAAGCTCCAAGAAGACAAGCCTACCTTCAAAAAAGAGGAGGTAAATATGATTGAGAAGTAATGATCGTAAAGCAACAGAAAAAGCAGTCAGTGTTCCAAGATATCTCAGGTCTGATGATCTCAAAATTGTAACCCCATATCCAGTGTATTTCAAGCCATGACTCACAATCCATTAAATAGTAAGATCAGCTTAGAGTGTCTCAAAATTAATTAAATGTATCAGTCAGCATTTTTTAAAAAATGAAATGGATAGAAAGCATCATAGGGCACTGTAGGTAGTAAGTATTGCATTGTCATGTAAATTGTCTTTTTTTCTGTGGGACACCATCAAAAAGACTTGAAAAACACTGCTGGAATCAATTTATCCTGCTTTCTAGTCTTCTGAATGCTATTTTTTTTTCCTTGAGCCATTCTACTTTCATTTCAATCATGAAATATTTCCAACTGGCCTTGATTAATGCTTTAACTTTTCAAAGGAAAAACACCCATACACATCTCAGTAGAAAATTTGATGAACTGAAGATGATATTTGGTTTTCAAAAAGAAAAGTTTGGCCAAATGTTCTGCATTGCATTTCTGAGGCACACACAGGAGCGGGTGCCAGGGTGTTTGACTGTAGGTAAGTGAACAAGGAGCTCTACAGATAGAATGGCACGGGATTTGACAGTAGTCAGAACACCACATCAGAACACCTAATTGCATTTCAACTCTGGTGCTGTGTTTGCCCCAAATAATCTTAAAAATTGTGACTATATCGAATAAGTTCACAATATTTACTAGAATGTGGTGAAACTGAATTATTAGAAGTAGGAAGACCCGAAGTTCTTCACCAAGAGACTGGTGAGGTGATTTGTGGCCAACAAGCTCCAACCCACATGGACTGTTGCTACATTTCTGTGCCTATCATGGCATCTATTAAGAAAGCTAAAAATCTTAAACAGAAATCCATATTTAGAAAACAGGTGACCAGATTAAATAGGGGGTGGATTATTTTCTTAAATATGTTTTGTCAATTTCACATGAAAAATGAAAACCCCTAGTTCATGTTACATGTTACATTTCTGTTAAGATGTATGTTCCTCTGTTTCTAACAGAAGTTGCGGTGGTTTGGAATTGAAAATTGAATATGAGCACAGGCCATATAAAGGAAGGAGAAAGTGTAAATGCTAATAACAGGAAAACTGTATTTAGCTCTCATGAGGCAGTCAAGGAAATCATTCACTGAACATGTTGGGAAACACTTTTCATTTAGTGACCAAATGCCTACAAATTCATTTACAAAAAAGAAAAATGAAAGTTACCTCAGAACTAAACTCAGAAATATGTCCCACATGGGTTCTTGTAGTGTTTCTTGGTGAATGTCTTTATAGAAGAAAGAAGTGGGCATGAAATGATGACTCAGTAATTAAACACATGGGGGAAGGGAGGCTGTAGAAAACTCTGGAGTCTGTATTTAAAATTTCATTCAGTTCACTAAAATGGGATTTGTTTTTACTGACCAAAGCTTTCTGTACCTACGTAGAGTGTCTGAGAACCAGAAGGGCCCATCAGTTGCCACTCGGATGATCCTTTTGTCTCTTTTCAGATAAGGCCCCAGTTCAACAGCATCCTTGGTGTCAATCAGATACTCCCAGGAATGACTGAGCCCTGCCCTTTTCCCCAGTTGCCCCCCAGCACATTCCAGCCAGTTCCAAAACATTTGGCCTGTTTTTGACACAAGGCCAGATAAGCTACTCAAACTGGTTAAAAAAAAAGAAAAAGAAAGAAAACAAATCCAATCTATGTTCCTTTTTTAACATTGTGTACATAACCTGCTGGTCGAAAGACTAGGTTTTCCCCTTTCCAGCTAGTTGTGTTGTTCCTTTATGTAGACAGCTTTAAATCATGTTTACATGATTCAGCCATTTTAAACAACCTCTTCCTATTTTTTTTTTTCCTTTTTGTTCAAAAAAAAAAGAAAGCAACTAACTAAAACCTTTCCTTTCAATGATTTATGCAGCATAGGATAGGGCAACCACAAGTAAACACAAACATCACGTGAGCCTTCTTAGAGAAAACATTTCCAGAAATCACTGCAATGTCTTAAAAAACACACAAAATAAAACCCGTCTTTCTCCACTGCAGTTTAACTGTGGCAATGAGTTGCAGACGATCACCAACATTGAAACTTAATTTAGCTTTTTTTCTCTCTTCTCCAATTATAAAAAGTCTCTTTTTAGTTCTTCATGCAGGAGCTATTTTATTTCTTTTCTGGCTTCTAACAGGAAAACAGTTTCTAGCAGAGCTGCTCCTGAGGTATTGAAAGTGATGTTTGTGTCATGCGGATTAACCCTTCCCAAATATTGGTGCGCATGCAAATCACCTGGGAGTCTTAAATGCAGAATCTGATTCCATGAGGTCCATGTTGTCCGTGAACCAAACTTTCAGTAGTGAGGAGTCTAGAAGACGTCCATGTTATAGAAATTGAACCCAGTAAAGGATTTGGGGCTTCTGAAGCTAACAAAAGCACGTTACACCCAGCCTGAGGAAACAGTAGCTACACCCAGCTCTTGTTGCTATTCTGGAACCAAATAATGCAAAATATGCTCGAGACACATCTCAGTCCTTGCTCACTTGACTTTCTGAGTGTCTCTCTGGCACAGGGGCCTGTCACTTGAATTCCCATCCCCCACCTCATCCCCATGTGTTATTCCACTGGATATCCCAAGTATCTAGATTTCCAAAACCCAAATGATCACATTTGGCCAGAGCCTTTCTTTTGAGTATGCTAATGTTATCTGTGTATGAAGCACACAAACTCTTTTAGGATACGCGGCTACCTATTAATCCTTCAGCACAGATGTTCTCCATGGTAACATTCTGACCTATAAGATCTAATGCCTTTCCCAGAGGGCTCAGAATCCCATGAGTTTGGTTAAATCTGCCATAACATCTAAAAAAAATGTAAAGGCTCTATGAAATTACTTTATTTATTCATTTCCCAGAAAGAGAAAATAATTTTCAGTTGAACTCAAATCATCATTATTACATTGACAATGTTTCTAAGGTTTTCCATAAAGAATATAAGCCTGCCATCCACTGTAGCCTTTGCCAATAAAGGCAGAGCTTGAAAAACAGGGGAATTTTTTTTCTGTTAGACATATATCGTCTTACAAATCTACTTTAAACACTTTTGGGACCAGTAAATCAGATATAATACATTTAGGGAGAATGGAAATTTTTCTGACTGCAACATAGGAGAAACGAGTTAAAAGGGAATGTCTCCATGCTTAGTGCTCCACAGACCGTGAGCTCCTACTCAGAATTTGTTTCATGGTTATCCCTAAAATGGGTTTCCCTCACATTTGGAGCCACAGATAATTCTTAAGCAGAACATAAACTCCAGTGTCTGGATTTTGGGGCTAAGTCTAACAATGGTAGGCCAAAATGAGAATATATTTTGTTTCCTCCTTCCTGTCCAATGAATACTGATGTATTCTTGGGGAAGGACAGCCATCAGGGAGCCACAGTGAAGCTGTCATTCAAGCTATGAGCTTGTTCCTTTTTTCTGTAGCCTCTCATGACCCATGAGGAGCCAAGAGGGAAATGACAGGATGAAAAATTCAGAAGGAATCCTCTGGTGCAACCACATTTTTTCACGTTTGTGGTACCAGCATCCCAGAGCAGTCAGGTGATTTGTCTAAGTAACACAACTACTTTGTTGTCAGCACTGGAGCCAAAAGTCAGGTTTCTTGATTTACAGACAAAGCTCTTGGAGAGAATGGCAAAGTACAGCCCCCATTTTCAGCATGTCCGAGGGACATCCTAGGTATATACCCCATGGTGAAAGATTGAAGTCTTAACTAACTAGGACAGCATAGTAGTGAATCCCTAGTAATTAATCAGATAATACCCAAAGACGACAAATGACTTAAAACGTATCAATAAAGAGCAAAAAACAGTGCTCTGCTTTGTAAAACATGCACTTTAGGCCAAGTGCGGTGGCTCACACCTGTAATCCCAGCACTTTGGGAGGCTGAGGCGGATCGATCACTTGAGGTCAGGAGTTTGAGATCAGCCTGGCCAACATGGTGAAACCCGTTCTCTACTAAAAAGTACAAAAATTAGCTGGGTGTGGTGTTGCATGCCTGTAATCCCAGCTACTCATGATGTGACGCGGGAGAATCCCTTGAACCCGGAAGGCGGAGGTTGCAACGAGCTGAGATCACACCACTGCACTCCAGCCTGGGCAACAGAGCAAGACTCTGTCTCTAACCAAAAAAAAAAAAAGCACTTTAGAAGTAAATCTTCACAGGGTATCTGAAGAATAGGTGAGAAGAGGTGAGTGATCAGGTCAGGATAGAACCTCCTAGCGCCTAACGTCCTGAGTTCTTACGGCCTACCCTTCCTCTGTGGGTTTCTTTAGAATGCTCGTGCTTTGTAACTGTCTTGAAAAGAACCATTGTGAACGCACCTCACCTGTTTTCACACGCATCTTTTAAGAATGGATGAGATGATATAAGTGAAGTAATTTGAATTCCTTTACCCCTTCCCCCCAAAAAGCTATGTAAATTCACTTTACTTTTAAATAATCTGTCTCATTTACTGTAAGAAACACAAAATCCACAAAATATGAAAGCTAACACCTGCCCTCCATATATCATCTTCCTGTGTCTCCCACCACAACCACAAAACTACTTCCAGAGAACTAAATTTTTATTGACAATGGAAATCAAGGTAAACCCTGGAATTTTTCCTGTTCCATTCTAACTTTAATGGTTTAGATGACTACAGACATGTTCTCACAGACCCCACATATCTTTGGATCCTCCTGCTAAAGATAGGGTTAGTAAGTGTCCCGTCCTTGGGACATAATTTACTCAGTTGATTAACATACTGGTCTTTGCCAGAACTGGCCTGGCAGATCTAGCTAAACTAGAAGGTTTCCTTTTCTTCCTTTCACATTTGTGTCTTTCTCACAGATTCTCTCTCCATCCAGAAAGAAACCTGTCTAAGCAACGTGGTCATTCTTCCCTCAAAGCCACCCTAATAATTGCTCTTCCCAGTGGGAACTGCAAACACCTACTTTTACATGAAGTTCCCACAACGTAATGGTTTCCAAACAATAGTACTACCACTGCTCTTGAAAATAAAAACCCCAGTGAGATCAGGGATGATCTTACCTTCTTAAAATTGTGGTAAAGGTGTTTGTTCACAGGCTAAAGGACCATACCTCATTCTCTAAGAATTTCACCTGATTCCAACTCTACCACATCTGAGTGGTTTCTTTCTGAGTTTTCTGCCTTCCTAACAATTTTGGGTCTTATTTGATGACACCAACCAAGACCTAATAAGATTTTTCTTGTTCTGTTTCTTCCTGATATGTACTGTTGGTTAGATCAAAGATGAAAAGATTAAAAAGGACAAAGAACCCAAAGAAGAAGTTAAGAGCTTCATGGATCGAAAGAAGGGATTTACAGAAGTTAAGTCGCAGAATGGAGAATTCATGACCCACAAACTTAAACATACTGAGAATACTTTCAGGTAAGAAGTAGCAACTAGTTAATAGTAACTGTGTTCACATGCAAAAAAATTTTAAAATGTCAGTCTTCCCATCCTGTGCTTCCAGACAGAAACGTGCTAAACAGGCAGCATGCTTTTGTTGTGAGGTCATTAGCCATTGTCTTAGAGATACTCAGTCAGCAGGTCCAGTTCTCATATCACTAACAGAAGACCAGCAGTCACCGCTCAGACAGGGCTTAGTCTGCTTTTCCCATTATTTTGAAAGGCAGATCATGCTTGGCATCCATGTTTTTGTTCACTGACCTTTTGTGTGATGAGTGTATTAGAAAACATTATGACTGGGATTCATATCATTCAATGAATCTCTGTATGGTCTGACCACCTTCCTAAGAGACCTTTCTCAGTACCATTTTCAAGAATGCGTTTTCTAAAGGTTGTAAATAAATACTGCGTAAGACTAAGATTGTTTTGTGGTGAAATACTTGGGAAACATTGAATTAAGCTAAATTCATCAGATTTCTTTACCACATGACTTTGAGAGCCCTTCATGCTCATTTGCATTGGAAGTCTCTAAGAGGGAGTGAGAGGGTATGGACAGACTGCTCTATTTTATACAGTTTGGAAAAACTCTCTTGTATAGCTTGAGCTTTCCCCTCAACATAACCCCCTACCCCATCAAATTGAAAATCTGGGCAACTGATTATCAGACAGATGAGACCAGTATATTCAGGTAAATCCTCATTTCTAAATACAGTCGAATCCTGAGAGCTCTCTGCCAGTTTTGTAGAAGAACTTGAGGTGCAGACACCGGGCTGGCTACGTGATTCCTGTGCTCTTCCCCACAAAACACTCCCTCCAACCACTGGGGCCGAATTCCAACCTCTGTTACGTCACTGGTTGCTGTGCCAGATGTGCTGGAGAAGAGTCTTGGGTTCCTGCAATGTGGATTTCCCTGGGCTTGTTCCTTGGCTGCAGCCTTGCCTAGAGACCCTGTTTTTCTGAACACTTCAAATAAGAAAGTCATCAGGCAGGTATGAGGGAGAAATTTGACATGCTCCTCACACCAAAGCCTTTGTAATATTCAAAAGCAGGCGGAGCTACTAGTGATGGACATTTCAATCTCATCCAAGAGGCTAAGGTGGATAAATACAGTTGCCCCAAAACAATTTTTCTATACATAAATTTGAGCAGAAACCTACCCATGTTTATCCAAAGGAGAACCTAAAGCACACAGAAGAAAAGGTGTACGTAAAAGATCTAAATAAAATAATGAAGGTGTAAGAAAGGTAGAATCTATAGATATTACTTGGGATTGCCAAGAGAATAGATGTGAAAATTAAGTTTATTGAACATCCATAGAAAATCTACAAAGCAAGTTGATTCAGGTTGGTAAGTTGAGTCTAAAACTTGCTGAAGTGCCTGTAGTTTAATGTTTTAATGCCCTAGAATAGTGTTAGGTTCATGAAAAGTATTCAGTGAATATTACCTAATATTATAATTTTTTAATTAATAGTTTAAAATACGTCTTGTAAGCATAAGGTTCTTTTAAGGTGTAAGTTTTTTGTTAAGAGAAATAACATTGAAAAAAATCTGTCATTACTGTTTAACAATTAGCATACTTGCCAACAAGCTTCAGTCAAAGCTCAAGTTAATAATTAACATGCCTATTGTGTAGAAATCCAAAAAGCTGGGTAATTTGAAGGGAGGAATAGTCACAAGGGATGGTGACAAGTTAAGTGCTAAGAACCCTTACATGTGACTCTGGCCTTAATTTTTCTATTTTGGACAGGAAAAAAAAAATACCTAGGAACAAGCTGCTACCATATTATTTATTTTTATTTAGCCACCAACATATGTGAGTTTTAGTTTCAATTAGAAGTTCATGCTGACTGAAGCAGAGAAGTACAGTTTTGCTCCATATACATATAAAATGAGAAGAGAGGAAGAGAGTATCAGCCTCTATTTAGATAAGTTTGGTACGTACCAGCTTAACTGAAAACAAGCTGTGTTCTTAATGGTCAAAGGCCTAATACTTATCTTGACTTACACCTAAAGAAGCCAAGGACGGCGCAGGAGAAAGAACTTTATGGAAGAGATTTCCACCTTAAGTGGTACCCTAATGCTGAGGTCGTGCGCATAGGCAGAGGTGGTGTGAACAAAACTTTTGCTCTTATTTTGAGCATAGCTGCTTATGTTTGATTTAATTACTGTTCCCTTTGATATTTGCGTTTTCTTGTAACTCACTTGTTTTCTCTAAAACATGACATAAAAATCTCAATTCAATGAGCAGGATATAGCAATGCAAATTATTACCAAGGGTTTTATAGAAAGTGCAAAATGAAGGGTTTTTTGATTTTTTATTTTTGAAGGTGGGAATTAAAAGATTTTTTCCCGATTATAGAAAAAAAAGTACTCATAAAAACGCTCAGAAAATAGAAGAATAAAAATAAGCGCTCACCACCACCCAAAGATAACCACCAGTAACACTTTTTCCAGATATTTATCTATGTGTATACTATTCAAGATAAACGCATACCTGTGTATATTTATATGTAGTATATACATGTGTGTGAGTATACTTACAATTTTACATTGATTCTTGCACTGTGCATAAGAATGTATCATAGCTTGCTTTCTATGCCAATAAATATAAGCCTATAATTAATGATACTAGATTCCACTGGATGGATGTATTATTACTTATTCAGCCAGTCCTTAATGACGGACATATTGATTGTCCATAATGAAGACTGAGCGACACCTAGTGGAATCCCTAGATGTTTCCATAGGCATGTGTTTTGCCAGTTCAGTTCCGGTACAGTAATATGATGAACACAAAGAGAGAGCAAACTCATTTTTGAAAGGAAAGACCCTAAATTGACTGAGAGAGAAGTCACAGGCCTGTGAACCTAGAAGAGCCTGAAAGAGCCTTTGACGACAAGGTTTTGAGGGACCCTTTAACCTTGTTTGAGTTCAAAATAAAAGTTACTTGTAACCGACAAGAGCCTAGGCCAATAGTTCTAAATTTTTTTTTTTTTTTGAGACGGAGTCTCGCTCTGTCGCCCAGGCTGGAGTGCAGTGGCCGGATCTCAGCTCACTGCAAGCTCCGCCTCCCAGGTTTATGCCTTTCTCCTGCCTCAGCCTCCCGAGTAGCTGGGACTACAGGCGCCCGCCACCACGCCCGGCTAGTTTTTTGCATTTTTTTTAGTAGAGACGGGGTTTCACCAGGTTAGCCAGGATGGTCTTGATCTCCTGACCTCGCAATCCGCCCGTCTCGGCCTCCCAAAGTTAGTTCTAAATTTTTTAACCTAAGCCCTTAGTAAGAAATAAATTTTACATAATGACCCAGTACACGCCTGTATATGTTTTCATAACTGAAACAAGTGTGTCAAGAAACGGTAGTTTCTTTTGCTCTATGCAGTGCACTCCGATATTTTCTGTTTCTTTTTTTTTAAATGTTGATTACAAACTACTAAATTGACTTTCCGGTCTGCAGCTTGAAAATTATTATTCTGGAGGACACAGTATATTCAGAACTACTTCAGTGTTTAAAAAGCATGATATATAATATACATATATATTATAAAATCAATATTGCACAGTGTATTTCTTGAGACCATTTCTTGTTTTATTCTTTCTCTTGTTCCACAGCTAGAAATACTGTGCCATTCTTTAAATGTAGTACGTGATATTAGGGTGTGGTAATTCTTTTGTTTCTTAGACAAAAATGTCAGGAATAGGATATCTACGTTCACATCTAGTTAAGAATGACCTTACTACTTGCTAATAAGTATTTAAATGGCAAAGCTGTATCTCTGCCTCTTAAAGACTACTTATAACAAGGGCCTTTAAGCCTAAATTAAGCCACTAAATTCTGCTTAGTGAAGCCGCAGGCAAATCCAACTTAGGTGAATTCCGTGTTAGTGAAAATGCTGTATTCCACTGAAGTCCTACTTAGAGTATCAGCATGTTTTAAAATTATCAGTGTTCTAACTGTATCATATAACAAATTTATTAAAGAAACTCAGGGTCACAGTAAGTGCTAATGATATGTCTCCATCCTTTTATAGATGTGTAACATACTAAAAATACCAGTTCTGAAATAAAATTTTACCATAAGGACTCTTGGGATAGCATTCTGTCTTAAGTCTTAACATGTTCCCAGTTCTGCAATGAAGTCCCTGTGTATCCTCCTTAATCACAAAATAAAATTCAACATAATTTCAATTTTAATTCTTATTAATATAAAAACGTACCCATTTTCTTTCTGTTTTATAAGCTGTTCTATCTGATGAAGCATTGCTTCTGCTCAGGCACAGAAGGTAGCTAGACCTAGACTGTAGAAACTCTAGAGACAGAGTTTGGAAAGGTTTCTCTGAGACTCTATCCTCAAGGTTTGAGGTGAGAGGTGGAGAGAGAGGCTAACATGTTCTATTTCAGTTTATTCATTGTTTCATAACAAAACATATTTAATTTCAGGTATAATTATAGTGACAAAAAGAGTACAACTAAGAGATAAGCATTAGAATCTGATCATGGCTCAACTGCTTTCTAGCTACCAAAAGTTTGAGTATATTATTCTCTCTCTTACCTGTGATTTCCGTGTTTGTAAGATGGGGATAATAAACCTAACCTGACATCTTCCCAGTTATTGTGACTGTTAAATGCAGTAGTGGATATGAAAAGGGTTTAGAAAGCATAAAGAATGACATGTAAGTAATAACCACGTCATACCAAGCTAATTTCATAATTTTAAGTCTGTATAAGGAGTATTCCAGTTGTGTTGGGGTCAAGGAGCATAGAAAATAGACAAATTGCAGCCATAGGTTAATGCAGTCATGAAGGACTTCCCTGGAGCAGCTCTGTAAGAATAGACATAAATCACTGTGTTTAGCTCTTAATCAAGAGGCAATGGGTAATTTCATCTGCCAGAGATCAGCTGCTAGAGTCAAGCTCAAGACAAAGTTGTGGATAGATGGATTTACTTCAATGCCTCTGCTTAGTTCAGCCACTTTTTCCCATTTGCAGTGCCTGAACCTTTGTGTCTTCCCTCCTGATCCATTACTCCAGGCAGACCCAAGTTAACCAGTAACTTATGGGAAAGGACTAGTAAGGCCACTAGGAGACTTTTGAACTCATTCACAAGTAACGTTTTGCACTACATGCCTTCCTTTCTAATAACAACTAATATTTATACTGTAGATGATATATAAATCATAGTATATCAGTATGATATCTATCATATTGATATAATACATAATCCCATGCAACTCGCAGAGGTAAATAGAATAAATAGTATTTGCCCCATTTTTCCATGTTGTAGCATGTATCTTTTTTTAAAACTGTGGTAAAAACAAACATAACCTAAAATTTACCATCTTAAGCATTTTTAAATGTACAGTTAAGTAGTGTCAGGCATACAGATCTCCAAAACTCTTTTCATCTTGCAAGACTGAAAGACGACACCCATTAAACAACAACTCTATTTCCTACCACCACCCACGCTCTGCCTCTGGTAACTACAGTTCTATTTCTGTCTCTATGAATTTGACTACTTTAGATCCCTCATATACGTGGACTCACACAGTATTTGTATGATTTCTGTGACTGGCTTATTTCACTTAGCATAGTATCTTCAAGATTTATCCACGTCATAACAGGTAACAAGATCTCCTTCCTTTTTAAGTCTGAATAATATTCCATGGAACGGCTGGCCCACCTTTTATTTATCCACTCCTGCCATGATGGACACTTGGGTTGCGTCAATCTCTTGGTCCTTGTAAATAGTGCTGCTGTGAACACGGGTATACAAATATCTCTTCAAGACCCTGCTTTCCATTCTTCTAGATGTGTATCAGAAGTGGGATTGCTGGATCACGTGGTAGTTCTCTTATTGATTTTTTGAGGAGCCTCCATACTGTTTCCATAGCAGCTGCACAACTTTACAATCCCATTTTGCGGTGCATATTTGTCCCATTTTACAGCTGAGGAAACCAAGTGCAAGTGGCAGAGCAGAGGCTCCCATTCAGACTCTGTGATTCCAGGCAGACCCCTTCCCCAGCCTACCCCTTGGGCTAATGAGAGGCAGTGGGGATTTGGTCTGGGATGCAAAAGGCGCAGACCGACCTCCCCTTCCTCCAGGGAGACTACAGGCAAAAGCATGTAAACCCCTTTCCATTGCCCCCAAACCACAGCCGCCCTGGAGGGAGGGCCAGCGTGGACACCAAGGAGGCTGAAGGCGCCCCCCAGGTGGAAGCCGGCAAAAGGCTGGAGGAGCTTCGTCGTCGTCGCGGGGAGACCGAGAGCGAAGAGTTTGAGAAGCTCAAACAGAAGCAGCAGGAGGCGGCTTTGGAGCTAGAGGAACTCAAGAAAAAGAGGGAAGAGAGAAGGAAGGTCCTGGAGGAGGAAGAGCAGAGGAGGAAGCAGGAGGAAGCCGATCGAAAACTCAGAGAGGAGGTAAGGTGGGCGCTAGCCCCCTGAGAAGGTTGCATGAGAAAATTCCCTGGTGCCATGCGGCTGCTCTTTTGAGCATGGCCTCTCAAAAATATTTTTTAAGAATAATAAACTTAACATGTGCTAGTTACGGTTCTAAAACTTGTAGACATATTAATTTGTCCACTGCTTCTAAGAACTCGCTGACGTGGGTACTTATCCCCATTTTACAGATGAGAAAACTGAGGCACAGAGAGGTTTGTTTTTGTTTGTTTCTTTGTTTTGTAATTTTCCTGAGGTCTCCCTTGTGTTAACCCATTACCCTTTACTGCCTCTCAAAAGGGAAAAGTTAGAAAGCTGAGAAGGATGAAAGGTCTGCAAATCAGTTACCAGAATGAAGTTATGAGATACTTCTTTTCTAATAGTTGGAGAGTTTTTATAGAGAAGGTTTAAAAAATTTTTTTTTTTTTTTTTTTTAATGAGCAAGTAAGTACATTAGAATGTAAATAGGCAGGGACAGTATCTGCATTGTTCATTACTGTGTACCCAGGACCCCATACCGTGCCTGACATGCAGGAGGAACCCCATCATTATAAACAGATGAATTTGTTTCATCTTTTAAGACAGAGCTAAAAACAGCAGATAAAGTTACAAGGAGGAACATTTTGGCTCAGCATATGAAATAATGTGTAACCAACTACAACTTACAGTACTACAGGTTACAAAGTGCATTCTTTCCTTTCATCCTGAGGTATGTTGTTCTCATTTTATGGGCAAAGAAACCAGGAATCAAATAGTTTGAGTGACTTATTTGAAGATTTTTGACTAATAAATGGTAGAATCAGTATGGAGACCCTGCTTTTCCAACTCAGAGCCTAGAGCTTTTGAAATAGCGATCTTCCATCATTCAAAATATGAAAGAAAAAAAAAAACTTTCAATGGCATTTTGACATGGATCCTATGCAAAATTTTCCGGAACTGTATGGAAAATTTGGATACAATTATTTTGAGGTCTCTTTTAACTCCAACTTTCAATGAGCCAATTACCTTTGGTTGGGAAGTAATCAGGATGATAGAGTTTTGGAGTTAAACACACCCAGGCTTCTTTTTTTTTTTTTTTTTTTTTTAAGACGGAGTCTGGCTCTGTCACCCAGGCTGGAGTGCAGTGGTGCAATCTCGCAACACACCCAGTCTTCTAACTCTGCCACTAACAAGCTGGGGCCTTGGGAAATCTGGACTACTCTGTGTCTTTTCCTTATCTGTGAAATAATATCTACTTTGCAGGATTCTTCTGATAATTTAATAGATCATTGTGCTCCCAGTGCCTAGCACATTCTAGGTACTCAAAAATCGGTAGATATCATTATTGCCATCATTGTTATTATGATTATTATTCAGAGGAGGAGAGTATCAGGAAAGGCTGAAGGGAAATCGTGAAGTCTTAGAACTGGATTGAACCTAGGAGATTATTTGGCCTAAACTACGAAACACAGGATCCTTCTACGGCATCCTCTGACAGAAGAACATCTCGTCTCTGCTTGAGAACATGCAGTGATAATGATCTCACAGTTTAAGAACTACCAAAGACTGCATAAATCTCTCAGAAAATCAAGTTGTGCAACTTGATCAGAGTCCTGAATTGTTTGCCTGATAGAGAAGACAGAGTATTCTAGACTAGGAATGAAGACACAGAGGGGTTAATGAGACAGTCTGTAAACATTTACGTTTGCACCACTATGGTCCAGTGTCTACAGTATTTCAGGTTTGTCAAACCATCTAAAATTATATATTCACCTGAAGTGGGGAGCAACCATAAAATCACCTCTTATACCATCTGGCAAATATAGTACCACAGATTTAGATAGCTTTTCACTTAAGTTATTTATTTGTCTTCATGACACAACTCTCCTAGGATGTAGGTAGAAGGAATATTCATATTCCTTTTACATATACAGAAGTGTGAGGTCATTGTTAATGACCCACAGGACAGTGGTGATTATGTGTCGCCCTATGGGAAATCACCATAATGAGTGTTAGTCTAAGCCCGGGGTGTCCGCTCTTTTGGCTTCCCTGGGTCACATTGGAAGAAGAAGAATTGCCTTGGGCGACACATAAAATACACTAATACTAATGATTGCTGATGAGCTGAAAAAACAAAACAAAACAAAACAAAAAACAAAGATGTCTCATAATGTTTAAAGAAAGTTTACGAATTCGTTGGGCCACATTCAAAGCCATCCTGGGCATCATGTGGCCCCTGGGCTGTGGGTTGGACAAGCCTGGTCTAAGCATTTTACATGTGCTTTCTCACTGAGTCCTCACAAAAGCCCTATAAAATGAGTACTGTTGTTATCCCTGTTTTACAGATGAAGAAACTGAGCCACAGAGCAGATAAATAACATGGTCAAGGTCAGGCCGTTCGAAAGTAACACCACCAGAATGCAAATACAGGCAGCTCGACTCCAGCTCTCAGGCTAAACCTCTGGTGACCACCTAGAAGGGGAGTGTCCAGCCTGCGGCCTGAGTCTGCTGCTTCTCCTGACTGTGCTCTCTCTCCTACAGCACTCTTCCCTTTGGCTGTGAAGCTGGTACTGATGCCTCATTATTTGTTCTTTCTCTCTTAGGAAGAGAAGAGGAGGCTAAAGGAAGAAATTGAAAGGCGAAGAGCAGAAGCTGCTGAGAAACGCCAGAAGATGCCAGAAGATGGCTTGTCAGATGACAAGAAACCATTCAAGTGTTTCACTCCTAAAGGTTCATCTCTCAAGGTATTTTTTTTTTCCCCAGAAAACCTCTATTAGAATATGAGAGAAACTGGATTTTAGCCCCTTGTTTAGTTATTGATTATTCAGGGCCTTTGCTTCATTTATCTTTTTGCTATCCTTCCATGTTAATCTGTTCAGGCTGCTATAACAAAATACTTTAGACTGGGGCCAGGTGCGGTGGCTCATGCCTGTAATCCTAGCACTTTGGGGGGCCAACGTGGGCAGATCACCTGAGGTCAGGAGTTCAAGACCAGCCTGGCCAACATGGTGAAACCCCACCTCCACCAAAAAATTCAAAAATTAGCCGGACATGGTGGCACGCACCTATAATGATCCCAGCTACTTGGAAGGCTTAGGCAGGAGAATCACTTGAACCCAGGAGGTGGAGGTTGCAGTGAGCCGAGATCATACCACTACACTCCAGCCTGGGCAACAGAGCAAAACTCTGTCTCAAAATTTATCACTCACAGTTCTGGAGGCTGGGAAGTCAAAGATCAAGGTGCCAGCAGATGTGGTGTCTAGTGAGGGCCTATTCCTCAAAGACAGCACCTTCTCCCTGTGTCTTCACATGGTGGAAGGAGAAGGGGAGAAAACAGGCTCCCTTAGGCCTCTTTTATAAGGGCACTAGTCCCATTCACAGGGGCCCCACCCTCATTACCCAGTTACCAACCAAAGGTCTTGCCTCTTGGTACCAACACGTCAAGGATTCAGTTTCAACATATAAATGTTGGACCATAGCACCTCCTTTCAGCTGTTTCACAGCTTCTCTTTGTTTACAACATATGGAAAGGAGAGACAGTAGTGAAATCTTTAATCTGTTATTTATTAGATGCTTTGGCATACATTAAAATGACATTTGGTGATTATCTCTGAATTTTACTGATCCACATTCTCCATGTACCTCATTCCTTTGAGCAACTGAGAATAGAAACATTTAAAATGTATAAAATGGGAAAGTATATTTTAAAAGTTTAAGCTGCTTTTCATGCTAGCTGTTCATTTCTTCTTTGTCATGATTAAAAACCAGCTGGAAACGATACAGGTGCAAATTTTAAAGCAATTATTATGGGAGGAGGCGAAATGTGACTTGGAGAGGGTCCTTTTCCAGGATGGCTTTGGTCCTGTGACAGCCTTCAGGGAACACAGCTCCTATTTGATGTAAAACAGAGTGCTGCCAGGACAACAGAGAAGGAGCAGGAATCAGCTGAGTCAGGTAGATGATAGAATAGTTGAGATGTAGGGAAAACACAGTGGACTCAAGAAAGTAGCATCCTTGATTTATAATCAGTCCACCATTATTGCCAGTGGTGATTTCTTTGAGGATTAACATCACTGAGCATCTAGCACAGTGCTTTACATCATATTGAAGATACTTAATAAAAATTTGTTAAATGATGAATAAATGAATGAATCTTCAGAGATTGGAACCTTTAACATTTCATTTTCCATCAACCTAGCTAGGTTATAAAGCATCAACAATGGGCAAAGCCATGACAGAATTATGCCCAGGTCTGGCCAGGCACAGTGGCTCACACCTGTGATCCCAGCACTTTGGGAGGCTGAGGCAGGTGGATCACCTGAGATCAGGAGTTCTAGACCATCCTGGCCAACCTGGTGAAACCCCGTCTCTACTAAAAACACAAAAATTAACTAGGCATGGTGGTGCACACCTGTAATCCCAGCTATTTGGGAGGCTGAGGCAGGAGAACCACTTGAACTTGGGAGGCAGAGGTTACAGTGAGCCGAGATAGTGCCACTGTACTCCAGTCTATGCAAAAGAATGAGACCCTGTCTCTAAAAAAACAAAAAAGGAATCATAGCGAGGTCTGGATGGTTAATTATGTACATATGTATAAGGTTATATCAAGTGGCACACCAAAATGACCAAAAGCTGCTTACATTTTACAGTTATTACTTGTTCCACATGAAAATAAGAATTTTTAAATCCCCAAATAACTTCACTTAGTCTTTTTTTTTTTTTTTGAGATGGAGTCTCGCCCTGTAGCCCAGGCTGGAGTGCAGTGGCACAATCTTGGCTTACTGCAACTTTCACCTCCCAGGTTCAAGCAATTCTTCTGTCTCAGCCTCTCAAGTAGCTGGGAGTACAGGCGCACGCCACCACATCCGGCTAATTTTTGTATTTTTAGTAGAGATGGGGGTTTCATCATATTGGCCAGGCTGGCCTCGAACTCCTGACTTCATTATCCGCCCACCTTGGCCTCCCAAAGTGCTTGGATTACAGGTGTGAGCCACCGTGCCCGGCTTACTTAGTCTTTATGATGGTCTGGGTCCCAGTCATATTTCTGATACCTCCCAAACAAATTATTTGTACTCGAACCCTTGTCTTAAGATCTGCTTCAGGGAAAATTGAAACTAAGCCACAGAGGGATTATACATTTAATATCTGATTATTTATGAAATACTTAATGCATGCTATGTCCTATGAGGGAAAGAACAAAGCAAGGTGGCTGCCCTGATGGCACTAATGACTGCCTCAAAGAAACAATTCAAGAAGTACTAAGGTGACCAAATGCTGATCTCAGAGCAGAGCAAAATGAGGAGAGAAAGGCCTTGTGGAGTAGGCAAGTTTTATTTATAAACACTGAAATTTGAATTTTATGTAATTTTATTGTGATTTTCTAATGTCATGAAATACTCTTCTTCTTTTGATTTTTTTTAACCATTTAACAATGTGAAAACCATTCTCAAGGCCAGGTGCGGTGGCTCACACCTGTAATCCCAGCATGTTGGGAGTCCGAGGCAGGTGTATCACCTGAGGTCAGGAGTTTGAAACCAGCCTGGTCAACATGGAGAAACCCTATCTCTACTAAAAATACAAAATTAGCTAGGCGAAGTGGCAGGTGCCTATAATTCCAGCTACTCAGGAGGCTGAGACAGGAGAATCACTTGAATCTGGGAGGCGGAGGTTGCAGTGACTGAGATCGCACCACTGCACTCCAGTCTGAGCGACAGAGCGAGACTCCATCTCAAAAAAAAAAAAAAAAAAAAAAACCTTTCGGCTGTGTGTGGAAAACACCGGCTGCACTTGGCCCATGGACAAATGGGCCATGGCTTGCAGACCCCCTGCTCTAGAAAACAAAACCTCCCTGGGCTCAGGCTATCTCTGTACAGCTCTCAGAGTTCAGCCCATTCCCAGTCTAGGTCTTCTGTTCCTGACTCAACAGTAGTCAAAGAAAACCATGCTGTCGGCTGGGTGAGGTGGCTCACGCCTGTAATCCCAGCACTTTGGAAGGTCAAGGCAGGTGGATCACCTGAGGTCAGGAGTTCGAGACCAGCCTGACCAACATGAAGAAACCCCGTCTCTACTAAAAATACAAAATTAGCTGGGTGCACTGGCACATGCCTGTCATCCCAGCTACTTGAGAGACTGAGGCAGAAGACCTGCTTGAACCTGGGAGGCAGAGGTTGCAGTGAGCCGAGATCAGGCCATTGTACTCCAGCGTGGGCAACAAACGCAAAACTCCATCTCCAAAAACAAAAAAGAAGAAAGAAAAAGAAAACCATGCTCTCTCTTTCTACCTTCTTTAAAATCCTGCTCAAGCCTTCCTTGAACAGTCTTGGTAACATGAAGAAAATAGCAGTCAGATCTAGACTTCTAAATTCTACTGTGGTTTTTTTTTTTTTTCAGGAGAAACTATAACCCACTCTTCCCGCCTCTTTAATTATTTCCTCTCTACCAAATTTCTCAACTTACTTATTTCTCTGGTCTTTCCCTCAACCAAATGCTGACTTCCCATTTCATCTAGTGCCCCCAGGAAGCCATTTATCTACTCCCTCTGGTGGAGAGGCATTTGTCTGCAGTTGATTAAAGTAGATGTATAAAAAAGGTCCAGAATATTTTAAATTTCTACATAAGAGAGACACATATTCAGGGGCAGACAGTCTATGCTTCCCTCCATGTATGTGCCTTGAAGAACCTGCTGTGACTCTGATTTTCAAGCTCAATTTCATATTCTACAACTTAATTGGGATAGCTATTAATGCCCTTGGCCCTGCAGCTTTTATAAGTGGTTACAAGTTAGCATTGTAGAATACCAATGGGAGGAAACATATTTGCTATTTGACATCAAAATACTGTCAACTAGTATTTTTTTAAAAAATATCTCATGATTTCTATTCCTTGTTTGGGAAAGTCTGTACCTGGTTTTTCATCATTAAATTATGTTAGCAGTGAGTGATTTTCATATGTAATGAATAGATTTTAAGTAAATTCAATTCAAAGATTTTTTTATTTCTATTGCCTTCATTGGTTGGGGGTAGGGTGTAGAGTAATGAGAGCACCAATTTTCTAAAACAAATAGTGTGCTTTTATTCGAGTTTTATCGAGACAATACTGCCACCTCTTGGTCTTCAGAAGAACCAATTTCCCTCATTAAACTCCTTAAACAGAACATTTAATATACAAATTCAGTACAAATTGTTAAATTACATAGAGCCACTAAGTTAGGATATTTTCTAACAGGAGCGCATCAGTAAACCAACAGTGCATCCTGACAAAATGTGTGGAATGCGATGATGAAGTCAAGCTATGTTAGCTATGATAGAAGCAAAAGGAGGAGTAGGAATCTGAGAACCTCGGTGATTTGAATAAATGCCAGGGCTAAGGTTAGAAAGATGATCCCTGAGTCATAAAGATGCTGCAGGTGGGACAAAGAACAATTCTCACCTCCGCTATCCCCTTCTGCGGTGCCTCTGTCCTCCCACCACACTGAATTTTTCTTTATCCTTCAGTCTCACCACGCTGCGTGCCTTATGGCTCTCCAAATCTTTGTACATGTGCTTGCTTTGCCAGAAATGCCCTTTCCTGGCTAAGCCATGCACTTCCTTCCTCACTTTCATAAACTCATTTCTGAAACTGTGTAAACCAGAAACTACTAATCTCAGCTCAAATATCAACACTACTGAAAAGCCTTCTCCAGCTCCCCCAGTTACTTCTCTTATACACACAGCATTTTTTTCTTTAATATTGTACCTGCTGTTAATTTTTAAATATTTTATTTTATATACTGTATTAGTCTTCCCTACTAAATTCTGTGTTCCTTAAAGAATAAGACCTTGTCAGCCGGGCACAGTGGTTCACGCCTGTAATCCCAGCACTTTGGGAGGCCGAGGTGGGCAGATCATGAGATGAAGAGATCGAGACCATCCTGGCCAACATGGTGACCAAAAATTAGCTGGGCGTGGTAGCACGCATCTGTAGTCCCAGCTACTCGAGGCTGAGGCAGAAGAATCACTTGAACCCAGGAGGCAGAGGTTGCAATGAGCCGAGATTCTACCACTGCACTCCAGCCTGGCAACAGAGTGAGACTCTGTCTCAAAAAAGAAAAAGAATAAGACCTTGTCTATCTTAGTTTACTCAGGTTGCCATAACAAAATACCATAGACTGGATGTATTAAACAATAGAAATGTATCTCTCACAGTCCTGGAGGCTGGAAGTCCAAGATCAGGGTGCGAGCAGATTCAGTTTCTGATGAGAGCCCTCTTCATGGCTTGCAGATGGCTGCCTTCTGAGTGTGTCTTCACATGGTGGAAGGAGAGCGGGTGCACTCTCTAGTGTCTCTTCTTGTAGTGATAATAATCCTGTAGGATCAGAGTTCCACTGCTGTGATCTCATTTAACCTTAATTACTTCCTTAGAGGCCCCATTTCCAAGTACAATCACATCAGGGGTTAGGGCCTCAACACATGCTTTTTAGGGGGACACAATTTGATCAATAGCACTATTCTATTTATTAGTATTCAATTTTATATAGAAAGTACTCAATATATAATTTATTGGCTAATTGGCTGACAGGCTGTCAGGGATAAAAACAGGATAGGTGGGTGGGTGGATGGATGGATGGATAGATGGATGGATGGATGGATGGATGGATGGATGGATGGATGGATGGACAGACGGATGGACGGATGGGTAATATTTATTAAAAGTGCCAGTGCATTGCATGGTTCTAAACTATTTCACCTTACTCACCTGGGAATTTTTTCTACAGAAATATAATTCTAAGTTTATAATTAAAATCAGAAAAATAAGATTACTTTATAGATTTTTTATATATCCCATAAACTCAGCACTACTTATAGTACTTTTTTGCATAAAGGTTTTTAAGTAAGAGTTTGCTTTTGTCCTTGTAGGAAATCATCAGAAAGAATGAAATGCTCTTACTAATATCTATAAAAGTGCTATTCAACTGATATGAGAGGAAGCATGTTTTCAAAAGAAAAACTCTGTGATACTTATTAATTGCTCATGAATCCCAGACCAGTCTGGGTCAGAAAGAACCCCTCACATCTTGGAGAATTGTGTGTATCCCCTCAAAATTCATATGTTGAAATCCTAACCTTCAATAAGATGGTATTAGGAGGTGGGACTTTTGGAAAACAATTAGGTCATGAGGGTGGAGGCCCCCTTAATGGGATTAGTGCCCTTTTAAGAAGAGACACAGAACCTTACTTGCTCCCTTTCTATTCTGTGCTATATGAGGACACAGCAGGAAGGTGGCCATCTGCAAACCATGAAGAGAGCTCTCAGCAGACCCCAACCATGCTGGCAACCTAATCTTAGACTTCCCAGTCTCCGGAACTGTGAGAAATGCTTGTTGTTTTAAATCATCCAGTCTATGGTAATTTCTCATATTAACTGAGACTCACTGAGACAAGGGGCCACTCAAACATACTAGCCTAGGGCAACTATAATCTAGTAGATTTCTTGGCTGTCCTGAACAGGGAACAAAATGAAACTTTTCAGCGTGCCTGTGCTTTGGCACATGCAGTCATAAGCAAAGAAGGTATTTGCTCATGGTATTGATAAGTCATGGGTGGCAGAGGATATTTCTAGTCTGGAGTTGGCTGTGGCATGGATTCAACAAATATTTGCTTATGGCCACCATCTAAATTTAAGTGATACAGTTTCAGTAAAATATAATGTTTGATTTAGCAGCTTCGGTTGTAGCAAAAAGTTCCTAGCTTTCAAAAAAAAAAAAAAAGAATTCATCAAAGACTACTGAACTGCTGATTTTTTCTATGTCCACTCCTGTTTCTCTGGGCTTATTTCCTAATTTCACACTTGGGTTAAGAGGGGCTTTGTGGGAAGCCTCAGCCATTACAGATGAGCTGTACCCCATCCTCATTCTACCTGCATCCATCTTTCACGTTCCACGGCTAATAAAGTTCAACAATAGGCTTGATCATTGACCCTTGTCAAGGTAGGAAATCAGGTTAAGCAATAAGGGACTAGTTCACATTTTCTAGTTATTCAATCCTGTTACATACCAAATACATAGTTAAAACATTGTGGGAAAATTTTGTTAACTCAAATAGCATGGTATGTCTCTAATAAATACATCCTAAAGGGTAACAGTGTGTATTTTTGAAAAAATTATTTAAGTTTGTTGTTGTTTTGTTTGTTTTGAGACAGATGCTCATTCTGTCACCCAGGCTGGAGTGCAGTGGCACAGTCTTGGCTAACTGCAATCTCTCCCTCCCAGGTTCAAGCAATTCTCCCATCTCAGCCTCCCAAGTAGCTGGGGCTACAGGCACGTGCCACCACATCCAGTTAATTTTTGTATTTTTTAGTAGAGATAGGGTTTCCTCTTGTTGACCAGGCTGGTCTTGAACTCCTGACCTCAAGTGTTATTTGCCTGCCTTGATCTCTCAAAGTGCTAGGATTATAGGTGTGAGCCTCAGTGCCTAACCAATTATGTTAGTCTTAAAATTCAATTATTTTGCCACTGATTTATATGGTTTTAGAGGCATTTTTTATTCCATTTCTGTCTGGTCTTTATTTTGCCTTGAAAACTTGATTTTTTTTTTACACATTTTCTCTATCCTGTATCAATCCTACCTTCATTCCCCCAAATCTCACTACCAAATACCTTATATGTAGTTTTGCTTTCTAGCAGATCTATGCACAGTAACTCAAATACCCTTATATGCTCTTTGGTGTTTATTTAACAGGTTCAGGGATGATATTGGCCTGGGCTGAGAAACACTGCTTATAAGCTTGAAATATTAATTGGGTTTATTTTCTTTTGCAATTCCTAGATAGAAGAGCGAGCAGAATTTTTGAATAAGTCTGTGCAGAAAAGGTAAATATGGTTGATGGTTCAGTTGAACTAATCAGCTAGCATATGTATGGGAAGATTCTCTCTCATATTTTTATATGTATGTGTTTACTTTTTTAGCAGTGGTGTCAAATCGACCCATCAAGCAGCAGTAGTCTCCAAGATTGACAGCAGACTGGAGCAGTATACCAGTGCAATTGAGGTGAGAATTGTCCTCAGCGTTATGATCCTGCTGAACAGAAATAGATTCTGACTACATAGAAGATCATAAAAACACTTAGGACAATAATCAAGTCCAATAGCCCTAGGAGTGTTAGAATTTTTTTTTTTTTTGAGATGGAATCTCACTCTGTTGCCCAGGCTGCAGTGCAGTGGCAAACTCGGCTCACGGCAACCTCCGCCTCCCAGGTCAAGCAATTCTTCTGCCTCAACCTCCCAAGTAGCTGGGATTACAGGGGCCCACCACCACACTTGGCTAATTTTTGTATTTTTAGTAGAGACAGAGTTTTACCCTGTTGGCCAGGCTGGTCTCGAACTCCTGACCTCAAGTGATCCGCCCGCCTTGGCGTCCCAAAGCCGAATGTGAGCCATCACACCCGGCCCCCGATAGTGTTAGATTTATTACACTTTGAAATTCTAAGTTCTAAGAAATAGAGTAATAAAGATAAATTTTAGAGGAGTTTTAAATAAATTACTTTCTACTTTCAGCCTGAATATTGTTTAATGAAAACGTTTTTTTTTAAACAAATGGGTTTATTGGTATTTTTATATATATATATATATATATATATATATATATATGTGTGTTCTTTTTTGTTTTTGTTTTTGTTTTTGAGGCGGAGTTTTACTCTTTTTGCCCAGGCTGGAGTACAATGGTGCCATCTCGGCTCACTGCAACCTCCACCTCCCGGATTCAAGCGATTCTCCTGCCTCAGGCTCCTGAGTAGCTGTCATTATAGGTGCCCACGACCACGCCCAGCTAATTTTTTGTTTGTTTGTTTGTATTTTTAGTAGAGACAGAGTTTTGCCATATTGGCCAGGCTGGTCTCAAACTCCTGACCTCAGGTGATATGCCCTCCTCAGCCTCCCAAAATGATGGGGTTACAGGCATGAGCCACCGTGCCCGGCCAGTATTTAACTATATTTTTTATACATTCACATGTATATTTTCAATATCCCTAATTCCTTATAAAATATGTTCCCATATGTGGTTTGAATAGGTCTCTCACAATCTTACTTAATCCTCTATTTATAAAAACCTTTTATTATCAAATAAAAATAGTATAATGTAATATAAAGATGATAGCCAACCCAAGTTTAATCATCATCAATTTCAAACTGATTGTTTTATATTTGAAGGACACAGTTTTATGTGTCTATCTACTCCACCTTTTTCCCCCACCCAACTGACCTGGGGGTTTTATTCTATTTGGAAATGTGTATTTCCCAATACCAAAGCGCCAAGAAGGAAGGTGTCATTGATCAAGATGTGATCCTGCTTTTTTCTCCTTTGTGTAGACTTTAGTCAATGGTTTTAGCCTCTTGCACATCAGAGCACCTGCTATGAAGTAATTGGATCAGTTTGATTTGATTTTTTCTTCTTCTTTATATTGTAGAGTGGAGATACACATATAATAGTTTACAGATGATATGAGGGAATAAGAAAGAGAGGCATCCGATGATTTATCAAAGGAATAGTCAAGTCCTAACACTAAAGATGTGATTTACAAGACTAAATGTCCACTAAAATATAAAACAGATTGCAGATCTTTATTTTCTGTGATTGAGTTGGTCATAGCACTAATAGGTGTAATGAAACCAAGACTGGAGCTTTAAACTTTGCATAGTCCAGTGAGATCATTCTTTATGCCATGGCCCCTCATAATGGTACCACTCATCCTGGCTGTGCCTTCTTGAACATAGGCACAGGCCACAGGGCAGGACTGGAGGAGAAACTTGAGCCATTTGGGGTATGGCCTTCATTACTGCTGGCAGAGTGTCTTGAATACACTTCTTTCTTACTTACATTCATTCTTTCCTCCTTCTAATATATTTCCCATGCAGGGGTATCTCAGTCTTTCCATCTTTCAGCACTTTCCTGCCTCAGGACTTTTGCACATGCTGTTACCTCTGCATGGAATGGAGTTTGCTGCTCCTGTTTACTTCGCCACTTTCAAGTCTTCTGTCAGATCTGGTTTAAAATGTCACTTGCTCAGAGTAACCTTCTTTGCACCCCCAAACTAAGTACTGCCCCCTGATTGTGTGCCATGCTTTATGGCACATCATTATTTTTCATAGCACTTAGCACAATGTGAAATAAATACTTGTATAACTAGTTACTATCTTTCCTTTCTATTAAAATATAAGCCCACTGCAGCTGTCTTCTTGTTTTCTGTTTGTTTGTTTGTTTTTTGGTTTTTGTATTTTATTGATTGATTTATTTTGACACGGAGTTTCGCTCTTGTTGCCCAAGCTGGAGTGCAATGGTGCGATCTCGGCTCACTGCAACCTCTGCATTCCAGGTTCAAGCGATTCTCCTGCCTCAGCCTCCCAACTGTCTTGTTTTGAGCACCATTGTATCCCCAGAGCCTAGCAAAGTACCCTTCATACAGTAGGCATTTAAGAAGTATTGTTGAGGCCAGGTGTGGTGACTCATGCCTGTAGTCACAGCACTTTGGGAGGCCAAGGCAGGAGGATCCCTTGAGCCCAGGAATTTGAAACCAGCATGGGCAACATAGGGACTGTGCCTGGCTAATTTTTTCATTTTTTTCTCTACAAAATAGAGGCCTGTGGTTCCAGCTACTCGGGAAGCTGAAGTGGGAGGATCACTTGAGCCCTGGAGGTTGTGACTGTAGTGAGCCTTGATTGTGCCACTGCACTCCAGCCTGGGTGACAGAGCAAGACCCTGTCTCAAAAAAAAAAAAAAAAAGTATCTGTTGAAGAAACAAAGTAGAATATCAATTTCACAATAAATGGTGTCCAACAAAAAGCATATTTCATTTTTGAAAGATCCTCTGATCTAGCTGCGATGGTTTATTTTGAGGGACATATGTCATCAGGATAAAGTTTTACAACAGAAATTATCACTCTCATCTTTGGTGAAGGTGTTTACACAACGAATTTTTAAGATGATCATGTTGAGGAAGACAAACTCCCTGTAATTTTATGAGAACAAACTTCCCAGCACCAATCCTAAAAATAACTTGCACATTTCAGGGAACAAAAAGCTCAAAACCTACCAAGCCGGCAGCCTCGGATCTTCCTGTTCCTGCTGAAGGGGTGCGCAATATCAAGAGTATGTGGGAGAAAGGGAATGTGTTTTCATCCCCCACTGCAGCAGGCACACCAAATAAGGTCAGCGTCTGATTTTTGTCTTTGAAGTGTAGAGGGGCACATGTTTTTTGCATGTTGATTGTGATTCGGGAATCACACTAGTAAATAATAAAAGCAGCGAAGAAGGTGCAATTTGTATTTTGTTTTGCAATGACCACAAAAGCAAGCTCAGAGAGAGTGTGTTCCTGAGGTTGCATGATGTACTAAGCCTCGGCCATCGTACTCCAAATAAAGTGCCTGAGCTGAAACGTCCACCCTTGAAGTTGGAGTGGGGCGAGTTACAAGGGAAAGAAAACCAGATGACATATTCTGTAATTATCAAGTGTTAAGGTTTATGGTTATGTGAAATTATACTTACTGATATTTTGAATTTGCTTTGAAAATTCCTTCCCAGGTAAAGTTTACTTCATTCTCTAATATTTTGGATGATTGTCCCTTTGTAGGAAACTGCTGGCTTGAAGGTAGGGGTTTCTAGCCGCATCAATGAATGGCTAACTAAAACCCCAGATGGAAACAAGTCACCTGCTCCCAAACCTTCTGTAAGTACCTTCAGGTTTTTCTGAGTTTCTTTGATCTCCCAGCTTCTATCAGCGGAAGAAAACAAGCAGTTGTTCTGTTTACCTAGGAATGGCAGTGCTCCTATTCTTTGCTTTCCCTGATGAATAACAAACGGGAAAGTGTTCAGATTTACAGCTCTTCTAAGAAGCTGCATCGCAGTTACTCAGAGGGTAAAATGGAACCAAATAATCACCTCTACACCCTAATTGAGAGAAGGAATCAGCTAGAATATTGAGTTCGAATTTAGACCCTTTACGCGTCTATTTGTTTAGCTTCTATTCTATAGATTCTAGATAGAAGTTTGAAAATGAAAGGTCAAATCATTTTGGATAGTTCTTTGTCAAGAGCACCCCTAAACTTATTTCCAAAAGAATATGTATGTTGCCTATTGGGAACCCATATGTTTCAATTTCCCTAGTTTTTATAACTTGGCACAAAAATGCAGTTATTGGGTAGTTGTTGAAATAATTGGTCTAATTGTGTTGTCAACACCTCCTCAGGAAAGTCATAAAACTGGAAACTAGAAAAACTGGTTATGAATGATGTTTTTGAGAATTTAAAATTTTCTTAATTTATTAAGTGCAGCTATCTTACTAAAGATAACATTTCTTTCCACCTTTTTCGTTGAATGTATATGACAATTGCCTGGCATTTGTCATTATAATAAGAAAAAGTATCAAGCTCCCCACTGTATATTGCTGAGCTTTCGCTGTTAAGTTGGTTTTATAGCTTTGTTGGTGCTCAAGGGAGCTGAGAGTCCACTGTCATAATCCTACATTCTAGAGGAAGAAGAAAAACTTTCCAATCCTAGGCCTCTGTGCATTTAATTGCATCCATTGGCTTCATGCCATTTAATTGCATTTGTTGGCTCCACATATAATATCCAAAGTCACTGACTTTTGTCACTTTCCAATTTAAAAAGGAAGAAATGGAAATGCTTGCAAATCCTTCTTGGACACAACTCTTTGAACCATTTAATTAATATACACCCCGAGATTCTTTGCATAAAGGCTCACAGGAGGTATAAACTAATGTCAACCCAATTTACAATTAGAAAATCTTTACACACTGAAAAAAGCAACTTTTCCTCCCCTTCTCAATAGGTACAAGAATGGGGGTTTATAAAAGGATACAGTTGAGGCAAGAGCCTAGACCCAAAAGTTATGTGCTCTTTAGTGCCTCAAGTTTTCCAAGCATCTCTGGTAACATAAGGAGTAGAAATTATTTTCAAAAACAAAATGAAGCCATGGCAGTGTATATAAGTTTTGTGGTTCCATACCAGTGATTATTAACCCTTTTTGAATTATGAACCCCTTTAAAACCTAATGAAATTTAAGGACCCTCTCCCCCAAATATACATATAAAAACCAAGGCAGTCAATGGACCTACTCTCAAGATAGTAAGTAAGGAGAGAAAGATCTATGTTTCCCTCTTTGATAAGTATGGAATATTTGGAGGAGATGCTAATTTTTGCACGTTTATGATATTTGCAATCTTTCATTTTTGTAGCAGATTATACTCAAAACATTGATCCAGAACTTGCCCCCTATTCTTTTATCGGCACTTGAACTTGTAAACTTAAAAGTTTACCATCATCTGTATGACATCCTAATGAGGTTAAAAATATAAAATTCAGTTATTATTATGATAGGTATAACTGTATCCAGGTTTCCACAACAAAACAAAACAAAACAAAACAAAACATACACGATGTTCTGGGGTTACTGACAGCCTCCTGAAAAAAAAAAAAAAGTATTGCAGAGAAATTACAAAATCATTGCCTGCTTTACCTACTTATTAGTATGTGACTTGCTAGATCACCCCCTAGAGGGTGGAGAAGAAAAGGAAAGAAGAACATGGCAGTTAGTACAGATTTTAGTGACATCCTTCTTCCCATTAGATTTTGGAGACTGGCATGGCTTCCCGAATGAAAACCAGATGGGAGAAAGTTCTATGAAATCAATGTTGTAAATACACCAGAGTGCTACTGGGATGTCCCTTGCTATTTATGGGTAGAATTTATAAGATTTCAGTGTAACTTTGTAACTGCAATTCAATTCTGAGTATGTCTGTTTTAGCTGGTTTGTCTATTCTTTGTGTCTAAACTACATGTTATACAGCAATTAAAAAGCTAATTTGTCTTTCTTTTTGTTTAAAAAAAAAAAACCCCAACAATGTCTTTCTCAGCTGATCTTCTGTTCCTCACTTTTTGGTCTCTGGTTGATTGGAAACCTGCTTCTCCTGCCTTCATTTCTCCCTCTTCTTCCGGAGTGGGTCTTTCTCTAAAATGTAGTCTGGTCAGGTAATTCCATTTATATTTCCCCTTTGATTTAAAATGCCAACTTATAACTCAGATGTTAATATTTTCTTAAAAGGACTCTTTAAACTCTTTAAGTGATCTTGAAAGATTCATCGACAGGATTTATGGGAAGTGCAATCCATTTTCTTAGGTAGAAGAACATGCATGAGAAGGAAAAATATTTGTCTCATGTGAGTCAAATAAACAAAGCGATAATAGCTGCTTTCCAGAGCTTCCCTCAGCATGTTCCTAATTATAGTTTCCAAAATTTTAAAACAGTCTTCCAGACAGTTTGGCAACTTCCACCTACGCTGGCAAATGTAGTGGAATTCTACAAAAATAATCTGATTTGTTGCTTAATGGCTCCAAGTTAAATAGGTGTAACTCTCTAATAGAATATCAGGAATTCATGCCACAGAGGAAATCCAGAAACTCAGTAAGGTTTAGGCAAATCTGAAATGCTTCACATGGTATCATTTAACTATGCATTTTCGGTATTACAATCTCAATACTATCTATCAGAAATATGTCCATTTAGATCAGTGTCCATGGGTAAATGCAATTGCTGTTAGCTTTGCCTTCCTCCTGAGAAAAGGGTTTGCCAAAATAAGCATTACTATTTCAGTAAAACACATTTATTTTCTACACACTACCTTTTGCCAAGTACTAACATAAGCAAATGCTGGGAGAAAAGTAAATTGAAACAGAAATTTGGTTCCTTATCCAAATGAAATTAATTATGAGGTAGTAAATAAAGACTCTAAGCTATATAACTGTTATCGATCATATTTTAGTGTTTCCATCCCAAGATTTCCACATGTTCTTACATATGTCATCAACTGTCATCTTCTCGCATGGGTTCAATTTGTGATGAATGTTTATATTTGCGGGGTTCTACTGATCCACTTCTGAATTACCCAGTTGCCCCTCAGGAGACACAAAATGATTTTAGGGTGAGGGAGGTGCTGCTAGAAAAGGGACTTTGTGGCCAGGCACAGTGGCTCACGCCTATAATCCCAGCACTTTCAGAGGCTGAGGCGGGCAGATCATGAGGTCACGAGATCGAGACCATCCTGGCTAACATGGTGAAACCCTGTCTCTACTAAAAATACAAACATTAGCTGAGCATGGAGGCTTGTGCCTGTAATCCCAGCTACTCGGGAGGCTGAGGCAGGAGAATTTCTTGAACCCAGGAGTCAGAGGTTGCAGTGAGCCGAGATCATGCCACTGCACTCCAGCCTCGGTGACAGAGCAAGACTCTGTCTCAAAAAAGAAAAAGAAGAAAGAAAAGTGACTTTGTTTGGGCTACCCGGCAGCGGATCCCAAGATAGTGATTCCAGAGCAAGTTGTTTACATGGAGGTGAAGAAAACACTACAGGGTGTGAGGTTGGGAGAAGGCAGCCCGCAAAGAAGGTGTTATTAAGCAAGTCCCCACATGGGCTGTTAAGCCTTAATCCCACGGAGGAAATCCTGGAAGCCACCAGATAACACATACTTCAGAGTTACCCAAGCTGAGGCGAGTGAGCCTGAGAAATAATATTGCACCAACATTCCCCAGCCAGCCATTGAGGACTGCTCCTGGAGATGTTATAATAACTCTCTGAACTTTCCAGCCTGCCTCCTGGGCAGGCAAAACGGGCATCTGTACCCAGAGAAAGTCCCTAGGCAGAGAAGTGCCATGTGCAGTTGGCAGTCAGGCTGGTGTGCACTAAAGTAGTAAGGGCTGGGGGAAAAGAGGTGAGTACTAATTGAGTTCATCTGTGAGTCAGGAAATGTTTATCAAACCCCAAATTAGTTATTTTTAAATAATCTATGATCTGTTCACTTATAAGAGTGCAGAAATTTAAAATGAGGCTACATTATTTTAAACATGCTCCTGTTTCACTTTTACTGATCAATAAACAGTAAGTCCTTGGTAAAGGGCAAGGACCCAGAGGCTATAGTTCCAGCCCATTCTCATATCATAAGACATGTCACGGTCTATATAAAATCAAACAACAGCTAACCCCATCTCTAGTAAAAATACAAAAAAATTAGCCAGGCATGGTGGCACACACCTGTAATACCAGCTACTCTAGAGGCTGAGGCAGGAGAATCACTTGAAACCCAGTAGACGGAGGTTGCAGTGAGCCAAGATCATGCCACTGCACTCCAGCCTGGGTGACAGAGTGAGACTCTGTCTCAAAAAAAAAAAAAAAAAAAAAATCAGACAACAGCTGATGGTCCTTTCAATTCCATTTCAGATCACTGGGGTAAAGTGTATTAAACAACAAATTGATTCAAATAAACAATAGATGTGGCCATTTATTTAGAGCTGGCTGGAAAATATAAATGGCCACCTGTCAATGTTTTTCTGCTTTCTCTTTATCAGGACTTGAGACCAGGAGATGTATCCAGCAAGCGGAACCTCTGGGAAAAGCAATCTGTGGATAAGGTCACTTCCCCCACTAAGGTAATCCATTGGGAGGACTAATATTTCGGAGGTTTGTTTTCCTGATGTATTCTGTAGTATAATGTCCTGGAGTCAGATGAGAAATATCGCTGACCTACCGATCTTTGCCTGCACACTCATCAGTGTCTAAAAGACCAGTACATAACACAGTGAAAGGAAAAGTGCATTGCAAGTTTGTCAGTCATACAACATCAACAGCCCAAATCCATGGAATGGTTCTCAGTAAGACATTCTCAATACACCACAGTGGTAGGAACGTTGGCAGCAGAAGCCTGTATGGGATACTATGGTCTACGTTTCCTTACAACGTCCCAGCTTGGTGCCACAGTCATTTAAAGATCATTTGGGGAAAACATCTGTCTCCCTGAGTGTTTCCAAAACTGCTTTCTGGAACCATTTTAGATTATATTGCCACTGCCAGCAGCCTAAGACTCAGGGTTGCTATGGCAAAAAAATTAAAATAATATTCAAGAGCAAGGCAACCATTTAATACCCTATGAAAATGAATGGCTAAGAATGACTGGGCTCCTCTTCCTTTTAGTCTTCTGGTCAAAGGATATGGTCATTCTTCAGAAAGGAGGCTCTGAAGAACATCTAAATGATGCTCAGACTGCAAATGGGACCCTTTGTGTACAATGAGCTCATTCAACTCCCAACTGTAGCCTTTCCCCATTTCAAGTAATAGACCTAGTCTTCTTCAATAAAAAGAAAATTAAAAAGGAAGAAACTGGAGATGGACAATAAGCAAGGTTAGAACAGGCTGCTTATGGGCTGATTTAAACAGAAGCACTTCTTAAGCAAACTCAGGACTAAAGAGTGCATCAAAGGCAACTAGAGAATCACTACAATTCACTGCAGTGAGAGAATTACCTTCCCTTTCCTACTTTCTACATGTTCTTAGTTCTGGTGCAGCTACCTAAACATATTACCCCACCTTCACTATTAGCTACGCATTGCGCTTTTATTCCATTGAAATTCACTAGCCTTTCTAAGTCATTGCTACACATATGAAAAGTGCTGCTGGTAATTATCACATTGCAAACTACTAGCGCTAAGTGAGCACCCCACTGTATGCTAGACAATCTTCTGCCTTCTTACCCTCCATTATTTCATTTGATCCTCCAGTCACCACGTGAGGTAAGTAGTGTATCATTCTCATTTTGCAGCTGAGAAAAATGAGGCACTGAAAGATGAAGTAACTTTCTCAAAGTCACACAGTGAATAAGTAGCATAGCCTGCATTGATACTCCAGCAGTCTGATCCAAGCCTGCATTTTAACCATTATACATGGTACTTTCTTTTAGGATGCTATTCAGGAGAAAATGTATAGTTGTCAATTCCTTCTATAATTTTCTCTTGGTGGCAGGGGAGAAAAGAACTTTTTTTTGTTATTTTTTAAACAAAGAATGAGCTTGTTGACCTAAGCCTTTATGACCACTCTAGCCTATTCTATTAGCGCATTGCAGGTTTGTCAGCCATGCGGTGTAAGTAGCACAAACCCATGGAAAGGTTCCCAGGAAGACATTCTCCATACACCACCGTGGGAGGAACGCTGACAGCAGAAGGTTCTCTTCTCAGACCTCTGAGAGGTATCTGACCTCTCAGAATGGCAGTCCCAGTGTTTATGAGTCCCAGAATGAGTCCCTGAAAAGGGGATGTCAGCTGGCTATAGACCATCGTCACCAGTATAATGAAGTCTCTCTGGATAACATTCCTCCTAGCCAGAGCTCTGGAAAGTAGAACAAAGATGATGTGAAACGGTCAGACTCAGAGACCACCACTCACATACAAACATGAATGGTACTCCCTGGAGTTATGCAGCACTAGTTATGTAGGCAGTACAAGGCAGGAGGGTGACAGTGTGAGTTTTCACATGCCACTAACCTCTTTCTACACTAGTAATAATATAACCACCAGACGCAGAACTGAGTTTATGAGGTAGCAGATTAGGTAGCTCTTTTGCTCCAAAATGTCAAACTCATTTCTTGTTACTCAGTCATTCCTTAGAAATGAATACAATGAACACCCCTGAAAATTTGAATTCACAACACTTTAAGATTTCTTAATAGCTTGGCAAAAAATTTTAGCAACTAGCTGAGGGGGAGAGAATGGTATAAGAATAGGACTACAGGTGAGGTAAGTCTCGTGGGGTAGGGGTGTAAGAATAGGAGGGAGAAAATAGAGATTGCTAGATTAAAAATGGGAAAAAACTAAAGATAAACATCCTCCTTCACCATCATACATTGATGTGGCCCTCACTGAGCTATTCAGTCGCTTGTGCCTGTTCTAGAATACACACTAGATTTTTGGCTCTTATGGTAGAGTTTAAAAATGAAAAAAACAAAGCAACTTACTTGACTCTAAATGCTATGAGCAAGGCGAAAGGTTAAGATAGGAAAAGAGAACATAAAGGAGAAAGACAGGAAGAGGGAAGTGAAAAAAATCAGAAGGAAGGATAAAATAAAAGAAGATCCAGCCGGGCGCAGTGGCTCACAACTGTAATCCCAGCACTTTGGGAGGTTGAGGCAGGCAGATCACTAGAGGTCAGGAGTTCAAGATTAGCCTGGCCAACATATGGGAAACCTCGTCTTTACCAAAAATACAAAACTTAGCCAGGCATGGTGGTGCACGCCTGTAATCCCCAGCTACTCAGGAGGCTGAGCTGGGAGAATTGCTTGAACCTGGGAGGCAGAGGTTGCAGTGAGCTGAGATCACACCACTGCACTCCAGCCTGGGTGACAGAGCAAGATTCTGTCTCAAAAAAATTAAAAAAGTAAAATAAAAGATCATATTTGAATGGAATGCCAGTAATAATCCTCCCTTTCATAAATATTTATTCCTGCCATACTTTTATTCCTTTTTCTTCTGACTCTAAAAACTGTCTGCCTGAAACACTGCAGGCTGTCAGTTTCACACTGCAAGCTGTCAATTTCAACTTCTCTTCTCTTGGCAGGTTTGAGACAGTTCAAGAAAGAACCCAAGCTCAAGACGCGGGACGAGCTCAGTTGTAGAGGGCAAATTTGCTCTGTTTTGTATTTATGTTGATTTACTAAATTGGGTTCATTTTCTTTTATTTTTCAATATCCCAATAAACCCATGTATATTATCACTATATTTAATAATCACAGTCTAGAGATGTTCATGGTAAAAGTACTGCCTTTGCACAGGAGCCTGTTTCTAAAGAAACCCATGCTGTGAAATAGAGACTTTTCTACTGATCATCGTAACTCTGTGTCTGAACAGTGATACCAACCACATCTGAAGTCAACAGAAGATCCAAGTTTAAAATTGCCTGCGGAATGTGTGCAGTATCTAGAAAAATGAACCGTAGTTTTTGTTTTTTTAAATACAGAAGTCATGTTGTTTCTGCACTTTATAATAAAGCATGGAAGAAATTATCTTAGTAGGCAATTGTAACACTTTTTGAAAGTAACCCATTTCAGATTTGAAATACTGCAGTAATGGTTGTCTTTAAAAAAAAAAAAAAAAAAAGGAAATGTACTGTTAAGGTATTACTTTTTTTCATGCTGATGATTCATATCTAAATTACATTATTATGTTAGCTGACAGTGGTACTGATTTTTTAGGTTGGTTGTTTTGTGGATTTCTTTAGTAGTGATAGTAGCCTGAACCACATTTTAGATAACTCATGTATGTATGTAATGTGCATACACATATACAAACACACTAATGGTAGAATGCTTTTTTATGTGCTAGACTATTATATTTAGTAGTATGTCATTGTAACTAGCCAATATCACAGCTTTTGAAAAATTAAAGAATCACAATATTATATTAATATTTCATATTTGCCAATAGAAACATGGCAGATAGGTATCAATGTTTTCAATGCCTGATGACCTATAAGAAGAAAGTATTGAAAAGAAGAGAGATTAGAAGTGTCACAAGGAGTTGAAATTTTCTAAAAGACATAGTATTTAGTTTATAATTAAATGCATTCTTGACGTCCAGTGTGAATTTTATTAATGCTATCATCTCGACCAAGCTCAAAGCCTACTTATTAGAAACAATGAAGTTCACAATAGGTCATAAGGTCTCTTCCTTTTCTAAAATTGAAAGACAAGAAATTTAGTGCCAATATTGTACAGACTGAAATTCCATGAGTCTCACAAAGACTACCTTTGGCTAAATGTCTGCAAGCAGAGAAGTAAAGTGAGCAAAATCCAGTGTTGAGGAGTCATGACCGTACTTTGATCTTTATATACTCTGAAACATTTCTTTAAATTAAACTTTTCTACCTTTATTTGTCATTGGTACTTGTAGTAAGTTGACAATGTGGTGAAATTTCAAAATTATATGTAACTTCTACTAGTTTTACTTTCTCCCCCAAGTCTTTTTTAACTCATGATTTTTACACACACAATCCAGATCTTATTATAGCCTCTAAGTCTTTATTCTTCACAGTAGATAATGAAAGAGCCCTCCAGTGTCTTGGCAAAAATGTTCTGGTATAGCTGGATACGTACAGTGGAGTTATATAAACTCATACCTCAGTGGACTTAACCAAAATTGTGTTAGTCTCAATTCCTACCACACTGAGGAAGCCTCCCAAATAACTATTTTCTTATCTGCAGTATTCCTTCAGAAGAGCTAACCAGGGCAGGGCTGGCATGAGAAGTGACCCCTGCGTTACAAAGTCTATCTTCCTCAGAAGTTTGTAAAGAGCAGTTGAATATTCTAGCTTTAGCAAACCTAGGCCAAAGGAAGGAAAGCCATGAAGAATGCAGAAGTCAAACACTCATGACAGAGCAGGCACAAGTCTACAATAAGCTAAATCAGAATTTACAAACACAAACGTCCCAGGTAGCATTGACTCCCATCATTGGAGTGAAATGGATCAAAGTTTGAATTAAGGCCTATGGTGAGGTAACATTGCTTTGCTGTACTTTTGAACAAGAGCTTCTCCTGATCACTGTTATATATTTTTCTAGAAAATCTAAAGTTCAGAAGAGAATGTATCACTGCTGACTTTTATTCCAATATTTGGATGGAGTTAAGTTTTAGGGTAGAATTTTGTTCAGTTTGGATTTAATCTTTTGAAAAGTAAATTCCTTGTTTACTGGTTTGACTATAATTCTCTGTTATCTTTATGAGGTAAAACTGCAAGCTGACTAGCATGTTCTGTGAATCTGCCATTCCTAAAACTTTTATAAACACTTCATATTTTTCACTGATAATTGATCGCTCCAATAAACATATATTGTGAAAATGCATCCACAATAAATGGAATTCCTTCCTGCAAAATGTCTTTGCCTCACTTATTTTTATGTACAATATTGATAGTGAGAGGTGTGTCTATTGTAATAAAGATTATGGCACAGTAAAACCTATATTTCAGGTTGAGTCTTGGTTTCACTCTTTAAAGAAGAAAAGCATTTTCATATTTTTAAATTATCTAACGAAATACAGAAAATTGGTCTTATGTTGACAACTGACCAAACATGTATGGAAAAGGTTGAAGAGGAATTTTGCAAATCCTTCCTAAAAGAAACTATCGTCTGGGCACAGTGGCTCACGCCTGTAATCCCAGCACTTTGGGAGGCAGGAGGATTGCTTGAGCCCGGGAGTTCAAGACCTGTAGGGTCTAGCCCCATAAGGTCAGTAGGTTTTTCTCCCCGTGTGTGGAGACAAGAGATTGTAGAAATAAAGACACAAGACAAAGAGATAAAAAAAAAACACAGCTGGGCCCGGGGGACCACTACCACCAAGACGCGGAGACGGGTAGTGGCCCCGAATGCCAGGCTGCACTGATATTTATCGGACACAAGACAAAGGGGCAGGGTAAGGAGTGTGAGCCATCTCCAATGATAGGTAAGGTCACGTGAGTCACGTGTCCACTGGACAGAGGGCCCTTCCCTGCCTGGTAGCCGAGGCAGAGAGAAAGAAAGGAGAGAGAGAGAGACAGCTTACGCCATTATTTCTGCATATCGGAGACTTTTAACTTTCACTAATTTGCTACTGTAATCTAAAAGGCAGAGCCAGGTGTACAGATTGGAACATGAAGGCGGACTAGGAGCATGACCGCTGAAGCACAGCATCACAGGGAGAGGGTTAGGCCTCCCGATAACTGCGGGCGGGCCTGACTGATGTCAGACCCTCCACAAGAGGTGGAGGAGTAGAGTCTTCTCTATTCTCCTCCAGGGAAAGGCAGACTCCCTTTCCCGGTCTGCTAAGTCGCGGATGTTTTTCCTTGACACTGACGCTACCACTAGACCACGGTCTGCTTGGCAACGGGCATCTCCCCAGACGCTGGCGTTACCGCTAGACCAAGGAGCCCTCTGGTGGCCCTGCCCGGGAATAACAGAAGGCTTGCACTCCTGTCTTCTGGTCACTTCTCACTATGTCTCCTCAACTCCTATCTCTGTATGGCCTGGTTTTTTCTAGGTTATAATTGTCGAGCAAGGATTATTATAATATTGGAGTAAAGAGTAATTGCTACAAACTAATGATTAATGATATTCATATAGAATCATATGTATGATCTATGTCTAATATAACTTATTTTATATATTTTATTATACTGGAACAGCTCGTGCCCTCGATCTCTTGCCTTGGCACCTGGGTTGCTTGCCACCCACAAAGACCAGCCCAGGCAACATAGCAAGACCCCTTTCTGTACAAAGTAATTTAAAAGCCAGGCATGGTGACATACACCTGTAGTCCCAGATACTCGGGAGCCTGAGGCAGGAGGATCACTTGAGCCCAGGAGGTCGAGGCCACAGTGAGCCCTGATAGCACCACTGTGCTCCAGCCTAGGTGACAAAGTAAGACCCTGTCTCAAAAAAAAGTAACTATCGATTGTCCCTCCATCCTCCTTCTCATTGCCAATGTTGTCACATACCAGCCCTCTGGCTCCTAAGATGGGCAGTACTGTTTTCTCAAAGGTAGTGTCTCTTATATAGAAACACCCATTTAATATAAACCATTCATTTGTAGAATACTTACTACTTGAAAGGCACTGGTGATTACATGGGAATCCAAAGTTATTTTTTCATGGTAATTCTGCATATTTATGTAGCACTAATTGGTCTGAAATCTGAAGTTCTCATAAAGGTTTTAAACTGTGAGTTCGAAGCTCCTGAACAGTTCCCTCAACCCTGCCTACAAGATTGACACAATTAACTAAGTTACTATAAAAAAAAATAGTATTTTTATTTCTGTGTCCTAACAAGAAGTGTGGTAAGTATAGACAATAATATAGTTGTTATCAAAATCGATTTGCAAAATTAAGCAATGGAAAGAATACAATCTGTAATACCAATACCAAACTGGTAAGATTAGAGGTGAATGGAAATTAATTTTACAATATGTATATTCAGGATAAGAGCTTGAAAACATACTAGTGTCTTCTGTGATGTCAAAACAGGTCTGTATTAAAGGTTTTTTCCTACCTTTGCTTGTATGTATGCTCCAAGTGGAAGAATGGATAAGAAAAAAAGAACTCAATCCTAAATTTGTGTTCTTCCATTGGCATTAGCAGATAACTAACAAGGTCTTGATTTTAGTACAGCGTCCATTTATGTCAAGTCTATTAATTATGTCCTAATATTCTATATCCTACTGATTTTTTCCTTATCTGTTACTGAGAAAGGAAAGTGAAAAAGCTCCCACTACGATTATGGATTTGTCTATCTCTCCTTGTAATTCTGTTAATTTTGCTTTCCATATTTTAAGGTTATTTTTAGGTGAGATATTCAATTCACTAGGAAGATATAATAATTCTAAATCTTTAGCTAAAGATCACTATGAAGTGACCATCTATTTGTGCAAAGACTTTTGCCTTAAAGTTATTTTTTTCTATTCTTAAAATTACTATGGTGGCTTTCTTTTGACTAGGGCTTGCATCATATTATTTTTTCCATCCCTTAAATTTCATTTATATCCTTTAGTCTTAGATACGTGTCTTTAACAATAATCACATGGTTTGGGTTTTAATCCAATCTGGTGATCTCTGAGTTTCAACGGGAATATTTAGTCCTTTCATATTTAATGTAATTACTGATATCTTTGTATTTAATAGTATCCTAGCTATGCGCCACCTGTACTATATGACTTTTTCTTTCTTGTTCATGCCGGGGCTGCTGCTGCCTCAGAGCATATGCTGATCTACAAGTGGCAGCTGAGAGGCTGAGCTAGATCTTTGGAAATACAATTGGGCTAGAGGAAAAAAAGTCAGAATCTGCTAACTGCCAAGAATGAGGGCTAGGTAAACTACTTCTAGCTTTGGTTGGGTCTTCAGAGAGCTGCCTCCTAAAACTAAGGTGAATTTAAAGTTATCTGGTCTTCACACAGATTGCCACCTAGCTCCACTCTGTGGAACAATTCTAGTATTCTCGCAAGGAAATAAATGATCAATGGTAAAGATGAGAAACGTTACAAAATACTGAGTAACAATTCAAGAATTTAAGAGATAAAGTATCACAAGGCTCTAGCACATAACTGTCAAAGAATTATGTAGTATATACTTGTCAACATTTAGAGGGAAGAGAGAATACATCAGCCTGGGGTAATCAAAGAAGAAAAATATTTGCCTGAACATTTTTTATACCCCCGGAAGTGTACGCAGTACCACTACACATAACAGTGCTTGGTAAGCGATAAGATGATTTCATGAGCAACTCAGTTTATAAACTTTGCTAGATGTGCTGCTGTCAATTTCTGTTAAGTTTCTAGAGTTATAAGAGGTTAGTTTTGTGACATTTTGTATTACTAAATTTATAGTCCATATATCAACTCAGCCCTGAATCTCAGCTCCATAAAGAACACTGGCTTCTTACATCACTCTAATGCCAGTTGTTGTTGTTGTTGTTGTTGTTGTTGTTTTGAGATGGAGCCTTGCTCTGTTGCCCAGGCTGGAGTGCAGTGGCACCATCTCAGCTCCCTGCACTGCAACCTCCGCCTCCCAGGTTCAAGTGATTCTTCTGCCTCAGCCTCCCGAGTAGCTTGGACTACAGGTGTGCGCCACCGCACCCAGCTAAATTTCGTATTTTTAGTAGAGATGGGGTTTCACCATGTTGGCCAGGCTGGTCTTGAACTCCTGACCTCAAGTGATCTGCCCACCTCGGCTTCCCAAAGTGCTGGGATTACAGGCATGAGCCATCACACCTGGCCTCCAATGCAGATTTAAAGCAGAGTTTTGCCATGACATGCTCTTAGTAGTGATGTCTTTTACTATCTTGAAATAGAATTTTCAAAAAATGTTTCATTAAAATAGATTTTGGAAGGCCCAATGGGTCATTTCTACCTGGATAAGGAACCTTAATTCAATCTTCTCTTACTGAATATACTAAAAATTATGCAAAAGTACCACAATCCTACAGAACACAAGATTAGTTTCTTAACCAGTTTTCAACCTTACCTAGCACTCTTCCATTCCAATATGCTTTTATTAGAATAATGAAATGCTATCTTGTATATGTCTAGTTCCTGCTGTATTAGTCAGGGTTCTCTAGAGGGACACACTAACGGAATAGTTTATATAAAATCTATAAAGGGGAGTTTTTAAAGTATTAACTCACATGATCACAAGGTCCCACAATAGGCCATCTGCAGGCTGAGTAGCAAGGAGAGCCAGTCTGAGTTCCAAAACTGACGAACTTGGAGTCCGATGCTTGAGGGCAGGAAGCATCCAGCGTGGAAGAAAGATGTAGGCTGGGAGTCTAGGCCAGCCTCTCTTTTCACATTTTTCTGCCTGCTTATATTTTCGCCATGCTGGCAACTGATTAGATTGTCCCCACCCAGATATTAAGGGTGGGTCTGCCTTTCCCAGACCACTGACTCAAATGCTAATTTCTTTTAGCAACACCCTCACAGATACACCCAGGATCAATAGTTTGTATCCATCAATCCAATCAAGTTGACATTCAGTATTAACCATCACACCTGCCAACATTAGTAACACGGGTGCTTTGAGGTTTTTTCAAATTACAGAAATTAGTTATCAAGTTCACTAGGGTTTCTCAACTAGGGTCTCACAGACCACACTTTAAAAACCACTTCCCCATGTCTTGAGGAGAATGGTGGCTCTAACCTGCTCCCTGATGTAACATGTAAGTGCTTAGAACTTATATGTTACTCACCCAATCCTCACAACCCTACAAGACAGGCACTACTGTACTGTCCCCCCTTGACAGGTAAACAAATTGAATCAAAGAGAATTTTAAAACTTGCCCACAGTCATATGGCTAAATGGCAGAATATTTGACCCAAGGCAGTTGGCTCCTGAGTCATTCAGGACATAGGCA